TAATATTTTAAACCGTTTGATTTTTGTATTAAAGTTTTTTTAATTGATTGATGATTGATTCAATCAACTATTTTGTTGATTGTTTGATTGTATTAACTTTATTCTTTAGATATTGAAAATTAAATAAATAACATTATGTTAATTTAAGCGTACAGAAAGAAACGTTGCTGTTGTTCCAGCAAAGATCTTATTTTCACTTTACCGAGTGCCTAGTAGGTAATTCGCAGATTACCTAGATAATCTGCAGATTACCTAGGTCATTTGAGAAATGGAATAATTTTCGCAGCTTTAACGGATCACCCTAGTTAATCTGCAGATTAGCTAGGTAATGTACACATTAACGGATTTCGAGCTTTAGCGGTAACATATACAATGATAAAATTTGAGGCCTTCAATATTTTTTTTAGTTTGATGTGTTCATTATATCTTACTGTTCTGTATGACTTATCCTGTTTCCTGTTGTATGAAGCAGGGGAGTTGTGTTTCTTGTTTAATTCCTTGGTTATTTTAATAGGCAGCAGTGTTGAATGGCAAGATGTGGGATACTTTAGTTTTTTTGCCTTGTCTTTGTTGGTGGAACAGTGCATAAATGCTCTTTTGACAAGGGTTTGAAATAGTATTTTTATTGCTGGATGTTTTGTTTTTGTGTATGGTGTATATATACTGTATATGATAAACATATGATATATGTTTATGAAGTATGCATTTGTGTTGATATAATTTAATAATTATTTAAAATATTGTAATTATATTTAAATTATATATTTCATAGGTGATGAACAATGCCTGTTTAGTGACTGTGAATATTTTTGTCAAAATACACCTACTGGACATTTATGTTATTGCCCTGATGGACTAAGACTAAATATAGATGGAAAAAAGTGCACAGGTAATAAAATATTTGTATATTTATAAGTTTTCCTTACTTGATAAGCAATAATATAAAGATTATTTAAAAGTTAAACATTCTGTAATGATTATCTTTAAAAGATTTTAATATGATGTTGCTAAGTTTAAAACATTTATATTAATTGCATAGTAAAGAAACCAAAGTTCTTGGAATATATAAATTAATATTTTTTAATTTTATACACAGAATATAAAAATATAAATCAGTTAACATTTTCAAGTTTTTACTATGAAATATTTAAAATTATTTTTCTCTTTTATTATGTAAGGTTATTCAGATTAGTTATTTTTAGAGTTATTTTGATGAGTACATCATTTTGTATTAATAAAACACAGTGTAAAGAAAGAAAACTTTCTATGAAAATATCAAACTTGGTTTAAATTTCAAATTAATTTCTCTAAACATATAAATGATTTAGTATAATTATATAATCATTCAGTTATGATTCACTGTGCTAATTTGGGATCTGTTTACAGATTCTTCTTGACAGCAACAGCAACTTAACCATAGGCTATATATATTAGTAAATATTATATTACTATTAAACATAAACAGTGTAGTATATGTATTAGACATATATAAACATCATAAGTCTAGAAACTGTGATTAAATTAGTAAAATTTTCTGAATTTTTTAATGAGCTTACTTTTCAAAATTATTTATTAAAAAAATCAAACTTAAAGACAACATATGCAACTTATCTCCTGAAATATAAAGAAAAATAACAAAGAAGAATAAACAGAAAAAGAAGTATTCTTAGAAATCTGAAGTTTATTTACTTAAAAGTTTTAAATATTTTCAGAATAATTCCATCTTTTAAAATTTTATGTTATAATTAAATAGTATACTTTTGAAACAACATAAAGTCTCAAATCTTAATAAATGAAAACAATTATTCAGAATAAGATTTACTATTATTATATGAATTTTTTGATAATGAAATGAAAATTAAATATTTGCTTTGTTTTTGATATTTTTTATGTAATTAATTTAACAGGAAAAATATATGATTTATATTTTCTAAAATAATAGAAAATATAAAAGTTATGCAGTTTTCAGTTGTTACATATTTTACATTTATAGATGTCATGCCTTGTGAACAATGGGGTGTTTGCAGTCAAAAATGTGTTCAATTAAAGCATTACCATAAATGTGAATGCGAAGATGGATATGAACTAGAGTCTGATCAGTTCACTTGCAAAAGCACTGGTATGTTTGATATTAATTATAAATAATTTTAAAAATATATATATATTTATGCTAATTTTTGTTTTATGTTAATAAAATTTAAATTAACTTCTTATAATTTCGTTATGATTTTGAAATTTAAATCAGATTGATAAATAAAGTTAAAATAAAAGGATTAGGAATTTTATTAGCATTATGTAATAACTTGAAATTTCCATTTATTTGTTTAGTTTTTATTGATAAATTAAAATTTTAAGGTGACAGTTATGTAATCTATTAGAAATATATTTGAAATTTAAAAAGTTGGAATTAGGTGAACAGATTATAAAAGACAAAATTATTTACAAATTATTTTTCAATTGTAATAAAATTAAGTACATCTGGTTTCTTTTCTAGCAAGTTTTTTTTTTATAAAATAAACTTTTTTTTTATCATTTATCTTTATATTCTTGAATTAGAAATTAAAGTATAATAATACGATATTATATTTTTTAAATTGTTATAATGAGGATCAATAAATTAATAATTGAATACAGTAGACTCGTACAATGCGATGGATATGTTCCGCTTTGTAGGAAATTGTTTTATAGGGGACGTACATTTTAAGTCCAATTTATGCTAGTTCAAACATGTCTCTAAATTTTAACTGCTATTGCAAAGGGTCAAAGATTTCCTGAACATTTTACCAAAATTATAGAGGAAGACAATTATATAGCAGAACAAGTCTATAATGTTGATGAATTTGCTTTGTATTGGAAAAAAAAAGCCTGACAAAATATGAAATGTGAAAGATGAGACTTCCGTTTCTGGTTTCAAGGCATCTAAAGACAGGGTAACTTTACTTTTGTGTTCTAATGCAGCTGGAGAACACATAACTAAGCCAATGCTAATTAATTGTACATTAAATCCATATGTAATGAAAAACGTAGACAAATCAACACTTTCTGTTCACTGGAGAGCTAATAACAAAGCATGGATTACATGCGAAATATTTAAAAATATGTTTTATAAGTGTTTTGTACCGGAGGCCGAAGATTATTTACAATGAAAAAATTCTTTTTTAAACTGTTGGCTTCACTGTTCATATATAAACAACTGGTAAGTGTATATTTTCGTTTTTATAAACAAAAAATCTGAAAGTATGTGAAAACATTAAATTTATCTTATGCATTATACATGATTGTTAATTGCGCTATATGAGTTCTAGTCGCAAAATTTTCATCACATTATACAAATTCATGTTATAAGGGAACGTGCTATATGGGTGTCCACAGTATTTATAATTATTAATATATATTGCTGTTCAGTGTGCATAACATTTTGTTAAAATAATAAAATAAAACATGTTTATTTTTAAGTTTATCATATATCAAGATAAATTAATTAAAAACAGTTTAAAAAGTAAAAAATTTTTAATTTGAACATTTTTCAATATTATTTTAGAAATATTGAAAATGTTGAAATAAGAAATATTTTACTTAAACTTTTTTATCATTAAAATGATATGAATAAAACTGATATTTTTTCACTGATTTTCCCTAATATTTATGGTGTTGTGTTACATCTTTTATTATTTTATCTGATATTTCAGAATTTTTTCTTAAAGTTTGAATGTTTATTTAGTATAATATTACTAAATGTAAAAATTTAAGTTTTTGATTCAAATTATAAATAAATTATCGTAAAGTTGACATATTATTCATTAAAAAACATGTAAAATGGTACGGTTTTCAAGATTTAAATATTTATTAATTTATTTCTTTGATATTATTAAGTCTTATTGATTTCTAATTTTAAAAATTTGTATATAACAATGATATGAATCAGAGTTTAAATACATAATTCTTAATTTTTTTCTGTTTCTCTAGTTTTTAATTTTGCTTTTGTAATATCTTTATACATTTTGGCTTATTATCAAATAATATATACACAATAGCATGCTTTCTTACTTAACTACAATTTTGTAGACCTTTATGCTCTCAGCATTTATCTTTCTATGTTCAACCAGAGATATGAACTAGCATGGATTATGTATGATGCATCAGATTTTATATTTTTGATTCTGGAGTTATCTTAAATTATTGAATGGGATAATCTACAAAACTTCTAATTTGAACACAGTTATTTGTCTGGGTTCTTCCTAGTAAAAATGTTAAATAACACACTGCTGATTATATGATGAAGATTTTTGTGACTGGAAAGATACAATTGTGGCTCTCCGCCATGTGTTTTTTTTGTATAATTGCATATAGAATAAAAACTCCTTTCTTCTTTCCTGTAATCTTTTTTCTTCTGTTTTTAACCCTTTCCTGTCACGTGACAGGAGTTGTACTATTCGTGGGTCCTAATTGGCCAGTCTACAAAGGGACAGGAAGGGGTCCTGCCTGAAGAGGACCTGTGGACACCAGATGAGGATGAGAGGGACTTTTTGGGTTCGTCACCGAGGAGAGAGGTCAGGCGACAGTGACCGAGAGACAAGGTACAAGGCTTAGGACAAAAGAGAGATAGGGTCGGTATAGACCACATAGGAATGAGGACCTAAAATTTAGTGAGCCAGCTGTTCCGTAGAAGTCCAAGGACCTGCCTTGGTACATATATATATATATAAGTAATTTTTATTTTTTATTTTCCTGGATTCCAATTGATTGGATATTCACCATCCACAAAGCAACCATCGTCGACAATTACCCCAGTATCAGGACCCACTGATCTAAGCTACTGGTAGATTATCAAACTATCCTTCGTCCTTCCTTTTCTCGTTTTAGTTATAAGTAGTAATAGTCTTAGGTTTAAGTTGAATTATAATTATTCTTAGTTTTAAGCAGGATTGTATATATATTAATTTTTGCGGGAAGTTTGAACGAAAGCAGGGACATTGTACATATATCTATATATAATTGTCTCTGTGATGGGCATTCCGATCTCTGTTCCCTCTGTCGACCAATAAAACAATTTAATTGTTATTCATGGTGTCATTTTCCCAATCTTTCACACAATAATTTATTATAAAAAAGTTATATTTTATATCAGTTTACTTACTATCTTAAACTGTGTGTTGAAAATGTCACTTTTAGGTGACGTTACACTTTTTAGTTTTTACCTGTAAATAAAATCATTACTATCTGACAGCATTCTTTTGCCAAATTGTCTCTGTTCTTTGGTTTCCAATCTTAAGTTTTGCAAATTTTATAATCTATTAATACATACAAATTACAAAAAAAAACATAATTTTTCATTAATATAACACTGAACAGTATGAACAGTAATAATTGAATCAATCACTATATATTAATATTTGAATTTTCTGTTTTTTTCATTTGTATTTATTTATTTATTTATGAATTTGAAGGAAAGATTATGACAATTTTATATATTATTTTTATCTTTTATTTTATTTATAGCACATGCTTATACCTTCTAGAATTTTAGTATGTTAGTAATTTATTTTAATCATTTCTGTTTCAGATACTACAACTCCTCAAATTATATTTTCTAACAGACATGAGCTAAGAAGTGTTGACCTTCATACTATGTCAGTTAAAACTTTAATTTCAGGACTGAAAAATACAATTGCTCTTGATTTTTATCAGTCAAAAGATGGCGATTTAATTTTCTGGACTGATGTTATTGATGATAAAATTTACAGAGGTTCTTTAATTTCTGGCTGTAAGTGTTGTAGTTAGTTTTATTAGTTTTATTTTTGTATTTAATGAATGAAAAATAGTAATTTTAAGTTTTATATTGTATTTATAGAATAAGAAATTTTTCAATTAATTTTTTTATACAATTCCAATGTCAAAAGTAACAATATAAGAATAAATCTATATATTCAGTATTCAGTGAATTTTGTGTGAAAATTGGTTTTCCAAAACATTTGTAGATGAAAAATATACTTTAAAATGCAATATGATAAAATTATAATCAGAATATTGATACATTGTGCAAATTAATAAGTACAGTACCTATAAAATGTTTTTATATCTGTGAAGTGTCAAATAGTTTATACCCATGGTCGGCAACCTTTTTTTTGTAAAGAGCCATTTTAGGAATTATATTTACCAAAATAATTCTTATGGAGCTGCAAGTCAGCAACTTGAATTATGAAATATACATTTTTGAAAATTGAGCGTAAAACATATGTTTTTTTTTTTTTTGTTAAAATGGGTTTATTTGTGCTTTACTTAAAGGTGCTGTAATAAAATACACTGCAATTCAATTGTTTATTATCAATGTTACTATAATCGTAATTATAAAATATAATTATTAATTTAAATTAAAAAGTACAAGGGTCATTCAAGGTTAAACGAGACCTATTTCTACAGACCAAAAGGAATGTCTAAAACATGTATAAACTATGTCAATTGTTTGAAATACTCTCCATCTGTATGTAGACACTGTTCCCAGTGGCAGGGTAAGTCCTTGATACCTTTCTTGTAGGAAAAACTGGGCTGATGTAGCCAGCACAGAACAACTTGCTGTAGTTCATCATCTGTCTGGAATTTCGTTCCTCCCAGATGCTTTAAGTGGCCCAAACAAATGATAATCGCTGGGAGATAAGTCTGGCATGTAAGGAGCATGAGGAAATGCCTCCCAGCCCATTTTGGCCAGAGTTGATGTTGTCAAATTGGCCGTGTGTGGTTGGCATTGTCATGAAGAAGAATCATTTTCCCAGACAACATTATAAATCTTTCTTGCAAATGGCATTTCATACGGCACCTTTAATCAATTTGGTGTAATATTGGGTGTTAATTGTAGCCCCTTTCTCTAGCAAATCCACATTGATAACACCTTACTTGTCCCAGAAGACAATTTACATGGTTTTCCCAGCTCTCATCCTTCACCAAATTGTAGACACCATTTGTACACTCTTGCCCGCAGTAGTGTTTGTTCTCCATACTATGCACTCAATCTTCTCAAAATTTCAGCAAGTTTAACCTTTTCCTTCATGAGAAATTTGATTACACACCGTTGTTTGTAATGTCTGTAGGATTGCAATGTCTGTAGGATCCGCGAGATCCTACAGAGATTGCAATCGAATGGAGCAAGGCAGATATTATACAAAAGATTGATAATAAACGACATCTAAAATATGCAGAGGCCTGGCACATTTATAAATACAGAGAAAAAGGGCAAAATATAAATTTTCGAGAAGCAAATATAATAGCATCAGCATGGAAAGCAGCGGCATTATTAAGAACAAATGGACATGTGCAATCGAATCTCAGAAGATTGTAGAGCATGCGTTTTTGGAATTACCGTTTGGCAAGTTTAAATTCTTTACGTCGATCCTGAAGAAGGTCTGTTAATTTGACCAAAAACGTTCGATAACTTGTTAAAATAGACTGCATTTTAAAGGTATGGTGGAGTTTATTAATTAACATTTTCTTTGGTCAAACAGTATGCTGAGATTTCAAATATTTTATAACATTAACTTGTATGAATGAAAAAGTTAAAATAGAGAACTTCAAAAAATAAGAACAATATATGGTTTCTAATGAAATTTTTGTTGATGAATTTCTCAAGAAAGTTAGTCAAAATTTGGTAAATATGATGTTACTTTTATTTTCAAACAAGAAGTCAGACTCACACTGTTCAGCTGATTTCTTAGTTTATTTTGAATAAAATTCATGTTCGAAAATGTCTGTTCACAAAAATATGTCAATCCAAAAACTGATAGAAGTTCAAATGCATAAGTTTTTAATTTAATGTAAGTATCAGGGAAACTGTTCCAAGTATCAAAAACAACTTGATCTTGCCTCTTTAAGATTTTCTATCCCAGACCATTTATGCTGTGCAGCAAAAGTAGATTTCCGTCTCTCTAAATTTTCTAATTCACTTTTAATATTTATAAATTTTGAACTCCACATTTCCTTGATTTTTAAATCTGCTAGTTCTAGTTGAAAAACTGTTTGATCAATATTACTAAAAGGTGAAATATTCAAATCAGTAGAATTGATTTTGAGTGGTCTCAATAAAAATGATAAGGTTGCCTTTTCCTTTCTAAACTCTTTAAATCTCTTATCAAATCCTGATTTTATATTTATCACTATTTGTGTGAAATACGTTAAATCTATTGAAATATGATTCTGTTGATATTTCTTCAACATAGGAAAATGTAGCAATATGCCTTTCTCTAAGTCTGCGATAAACAAATATAATTTTTGTTCAAAAAGCAAGTATTGCAAGGGAAGAGAAATACAGATGTATTTCTCTTCCCTTGCAGTACTTGCAGTTTCTTGTTTAGTGTGTTTAAATGTGAGGTCATGTCCACCATAAAATAAAATTTTTGTAACCAGTCATGATTATTGAGCTGAACATATTCAAGATCTTTTTGCTTTAAAAATAATTTTATTTTTTTAATGCAAGCAGCAAATCACATGCTCTTGCTGGAAAGCCATCTTACTTTATTGTGTAAAAGATCAGAATATTGGCTTAAGAAGTTCACAAAATTGCTGATGATATACAGGTATACCTCGCCTTACGTCGGTAATTGGTTCCAGGAAAACGACTTAAGTCGAAAAACGACGTAAGTCGAATTTACTTGTCTCCGAATCTACTTGTCACTAGGCTAAACCATAAATTACTATTCCCAGTTCTGTATTTTATTTATTAATGCATTTTTAATAATATATGGTTTAATAAGAATCTATTTTAAGCTTACAAACATATAAATTTCAGTTTTTAATAGAGTACAGAAAAAAGTAATCTAAATTTACGAATGCATGTACTGNACCATAAATTACTATTCCCAGTTCTGTATTTTATTTATTAATGCATTTTTAATAATATATGGTTTAATAAGAATCTATTTTAAGCTTACAAACATATAAATTTCAGTTTTTAATAGAGTACAGAAAAAAGTAATCTAAATTTACGAATGCATGTACTGTTCTGTAAATACAGTACATACTTGTAAATGTATATGTTTTAATATGATTTTATGTGCTTTAAACGCTTTTCTAGTGATATTACGACTTTAATATTGGTGGCGGACGGACGTAAAGTCGAATAAAATGACTTAAACTTGATTTTTATTTTTCCGTATACTTTTTTGACAAACGACGTATAATCGGGAATGACGTAAGTCGAGGTATAGCTGTAGTTGTCTTGCCATTACTTTGTTCACAATTTGTACAACCAGGTCCATAACTAATGTTATTTTCTTTGGAAAAGTTTGTGAACAAAGTATGTTTTGATGGATTATGCAGTGAAAAGAAAAAAAAAACACCATGCAAAATTTGTTTTTTAAACATAGAAACAAAATCTTTCTTTTCACCTTTCATACTTGGTGCTCCATTGGTTGCAATTGACACTATTTTATTAATATCAATATTTTTACTTTGCAAACAATTGGTAACAGCAGATTCTACATTAGTGTTGCCACCTTTTTAAAATTGCTGACCCAGACGGCAGGTCAGGTTTGTTCGAACAGAAGTCCCTGACGCCATGCGCAATGTCATTTTACAATGTGAAGAATAACATGCATGCCAGTTCTAATCAGTTACAGTTAGGGACTAGGGACTTGCATAGGAGTAACATAAGTAACCCTAAATTAAGAAAGAACAGGTACAGATGACTTAGCTCTATTGGATATTGGAGACATGTACGATCGTACATGCAAAAAATAAAAGATCGACAGGTTGTGTGCCACATGTTGGCGTAAACAGACTAACATGGCAGAATTGCAGATGAGTTTTAGTGAGTGTGAGTTCTTTTGCTGTTAAAATAGTGTAAATTTGTAAAAATGTTTGCAAGAACTTTGTTTCATTGTAATTTCACAATTTCTACAAAATTCCTGGATAAAATTAATAGTTCACCCAGACGGTGAGTCAATTCCCGGACTGTCCGGGTAAAAACCGGATGGGTGGTAACACTATTCTATATCCTCACCTTGAGTTTGTCTTGTAATGGCTGTATATCAAGTAACTCTTCCTGAGGTCTGTCAGAATTAACATATCTAGAAAATAGGTACAACGTCTGCAATATCATTTGCATTGCAAGATTCATCACAGGCAGTAGAAAATCCTGGTGTTGAACTTAAATCCGTACCTGCTGACTAGTTACTTCTGCTATACAAATAGTTCTGTCCCTCACAGTTTTAGCAGACATAGGCATGTCTTTTATTTTAGCAATTATTTCTGTTTTATTTTTAAAATCGCATAAAAGATACTCAGACATTTTAATAAAACAATCTTTCACAAAATCGCCATCCATAAATGACTTTACCCGTTTCACTATTTTTAGAGGCAACAAAACTAGCAGTAATTGTATTGTTACTTGATTTTATCTAATTTGAAAATGTACCTTTACTTAAGTTCATTTTACATTGAAGTTCTACTGCCTTTCTTCTTTCTTCTCCCTCTTGATAAGTGTTTACAAATGCTTTGTTTATTTAAAAAATGCCTTTGTACATTTGATTTTTTGTTATTAGAAAACTTTTCTTGACATATTAAACACACTGGGAATCCTGTTAAATTTGAAACAACTGCATAGGATTCAGTCCATTCACTTCTAAATTCTCGATTTTCTTCTTCTACTTTTCTCTTCTTTCCAGCCATATTAATTAGAAAAAGTAGAATAGTGATTTTCTACCAATCCAACAAATAAGAAAAATTATCTAAAAACCTGTTTTTTTTATTTATATCTTATGTGCAACAAAACAAATAGATAATATTCTCCAGAAATAATATAATTATAATGAATTTACTTGATAAAACAGCAGAATAACTTCTATATAAAGAATATCCAATAGAACACAAAACTTACAGAACACTTGCCAACACAAGAGCAACACTGTAAGTCTGTAAGTGAGAAATTCTAGAATCATTTGAAATAAAAACATAGTCATAAATTCTAGGGACAAACAACAAATGTTTTTTCAGTCATAAAAGTAAAGAAACCTTTATATTTACAGTATGAAAAACATTTCTCATGAGCATAGTCTAATTTTTACACTTTGTGCCATTTAAGACTTGATAATTGCAACCAGATGTTCCGTTCTTTATAAATGCTTTTATATGTATAATATTCTTACTCTGACAGTGAAATGATAAGTGATTAGTGAAATTAGAAAGTCTTAAAAAATATTAGTGGCATTTACAAGTTATGTTTTCCTTTTACTTAAATTAAAAGTTTTATTTTGTTATATGTATGTTATTTACTAATTTAAAAAGAGCCTCAATTATACATTAAAAGAGCTGCAGGTTGCCGACTGCTGGTTTATACTATATAATGCTTGAAATAGTTTTTAAGTAATATTAATTAAATGTAAAGTGATAATGACAAATGATATTCTAATTTTATTATGATGTTATAATAATTTTAAGTATTTTTATTTACAGCATTAACAAATATTGAAGTAGTAGTCCAAACAGGCTTGGCAACAGCTGAAGGTTTAGCTGTTGATTGGATAGGAGAAAATCTTTACTGGGTTGAAAGTAATTTGGATCAAATTGAAGTTGCTAAATTAAATGGAAGTTTTCGCAGAACATTAATAGCAGGAAATATGGAAAGTCCTAGAGCTATCACTTTAGATCCTCGTTTTGGGTTAGTTTATTTATTTTCAGTCATTTTAAATTATTAAATAATAATATTTTATTCAGTATAAATGTCAGTTAAGTATATTATTTTTTCCAACCATTGTATATTTTTCAGATTTAATAAATAATAGTTTTATCCTTTATTTTAAACTGAAAAAACATGTTAAAAAGAAGATATCAAAACAGAATTAAAAAATTTAAGTTACAAGAATAGCAGGTTTAGAAAATATTTTTTGTATTTGAAAAAAGATGACTTATATATGGTAGAATCTGCTTATAAATCATGGATATAGTTACCAATCATTTACCTTATTTCTTCAAATTTAAGCCGCACTTTTTATTTCAAGTTTCAAGATGCAAAATTATGGTGCAGCTTAAATTCAAAGTGAATATTTTAACTTCATATTTCTTCCGATCTCCCACACCTCTACAATCAGGTCTTTGCTTTTTTGCTCTATGCTTGCACATAGTATTACAATCGTTGATGGCATAAGTTTGTGATGCTAGTCTAAATAGTAGAAATTTCATAAATGTATTTTAAGTACAAATTCATATACATATTAACTACATACCAATAGTAACTATTTGTATTTAAATTTAAATTGTAAAAAATATTGACTGTTTAGTGGGTACTTTTGAGTTAATGATATTTGCCTTCTGGTCTTTTGCAGTGGTATCTTGGAAAAAATTTTATATTTTTTGTAAACACATATAATTGATGCTGTTATCAACTGTTGCCAGTGAATAATGATAACTTATTTGATCCTATTGTTAAGTTATAGAGATAAAAATTAATTACTTTTTTTTCATATGACAAGTTTTACAGAATGTTGAGTTATTGAGAGTCGCATTTCTTGGATGCTACCAAAACTTTAAGCATTAATCATTTTAATCAACAAGTGATTCATATATGATAACATATATATGATACACATATGATAATATTCATAACCTGATTTTTTTATTAGAATTATTAGAATTTATCAGGAGATTGTGGCCTAACTACTTACGTCTTGCCAAATTAATTTGTTTTGAAGTATTAAGCAACCTATGTAGTATATTTAGATATTACACAGACATTTGACTTGTTCTGCTTTATACTCTTTTACAGGCTGTACATAAAAATTTTGATATGAACTCTGCTATTAATTTATGGATTAATAACTATTTTCTGTCTCTGTAAATGTAAGATAAAAATTAGCAATTTTTTGAGTTCTTTGAATTTTTTCTTATATGCAGTATTCCTCAGGGTTTAATCTTGAGCTCGCTTGTCTTTTCATTTTATATTGATATGCTTTTTTCTAATATTAAATCTAAAATAATTGCATATACTGATGATATAAGGCTTTTAAACAATGACCCCTTAATATCACAAACAAATCTCAATACTTTATCATCTGCTTTTAGTAAGATAAATTAAAAAAATGATATTCAGAAAACAGTGGTGATGTGTTTTTCATTGATCTGTAATCCTCCCCTCCCTTTTTTAATATCAATAAGCAAATGATCGAATATGTTAACTAATATAGTGATCTGGGAATGTTTTTTGACAATAGACTGACTTTTAAACCTCATATTGATAAGATCATAAAATCCTTCTCAATTTATTGGGGAATACTATGGCAATTCTGCCACCAAATCTCTTCTGAAACTGTTCTTAGAACTATCTTCTTTGCAAATATTCAGTTTTTAAGAGAGTACTTTTTACCATTCTGGTCTATTGCTGTTACCTTCTTACTTAACAAATTTAATAAAGAAATTAACAAAGTTTACTTTTTATTGAACAAATTTAGTAATCTCCACGTTACTCATAACCTTGATACTGTCAGAGTCTGACTTGGCCTTCCTCCCTCTAGATGAAGAATTTAAATACTTTGATTGCATTTTATGTTTTAAATTTTTTCAATAGACTTTTGTCTTCACATTGGCAAAAATATTTAAAGTTTTGTATTTTAGTTATTTTTGAAACACTTTGAAGAGACATTCTAATTGCAATAATAATAAACTTTCAGTTGTATTTTAAAAAGTCAGAAAATCATATTACTTAGTCTTTATCATTAGAGATTATTAATCTTGCAAAATATCAATATTGCTGTATGTGATATGCATCTTTCCAATATTAGCTAAAATATGTTTAATAGTATTTTACTTTAATTTTATAATAATAATAGTGTATTTAGTTCCAGGACACAATTATACTGATACTGTATTTAATTGCATAATTTTAGAGAGAATCTATATATTTAACCCATTCAACGAGTATCCATCCGTCTGTCCGTCCCGTAACCGTTTGATAACGGACACTAGAGGCGCCCCTATTGTGTGTCATATTTCAAACATTCAAATTAACAATTTTAATTCTTATTTAAATTAACAATATGAATTATTATTATTCATTTGGCAATAAATTATTATTTGGTCAATATAACAATATAAATAATTCAGTATATTTGTAATAGGAATTTATTATTTCAGGGGCTTATATCTTGCGAAGGGTCGCGAGTAGGGGTATGGTTCCTTTGCCTTTTTGTTCACACAGGGGGCTACAGTTTGGGGGGTCACCAACCTCTTCACCTAATCTTACCATTGGGACTTTAACAGAGCTGTAGAGCATATTGATAGGAACAAAAAGTCAAAGGAACCGTGCTTCATGGAAATTTGTAAACAACGCCCACTAGGGGGCATCCTGGGCTACTAGTTAAAAATAATTCATTAATTTAAAAAATCAGTATAATAGTTAATGGCATTGCAGTTTAAATTAATGAGATTAATTTGAGTAAATATTTATTAAGAAATTTATTTTTAAAATAAGAAAATTTATTACTATATGCAATAAACATATTATAATACATTAATTGTTAAATTAAGAAAAATGTCAATAGCTTTGTAAGATTTTAATTTTCTAAAATATTTTTCAGAATATTATTTTGGACTGATTGGGAAAGAGAAGCTCCTAGAATTGAACAGGCATCAATGAGTGGTGAAGAAAGGAAAGTTATATTTCGTGTAGATGATATAAATGAAGGAGCTTGGCCTAATGGCTTGACCCTTGATTACATGCTATTAAGAATTTATTGGATTGATGCCAGGTTTGTTATTTAATTAACTTTTACTTTGTTTATATATATAATTCTTTTCAGATTTATTTGGTTATAAAACAGTGAAAAACCAATCAGTTTACAAACATACAGTAGAACCTCGATTATCCGCCCTAATTGGGGACTGGGGTTGGTCGGATAATTGAAAAGTCGGATAACCGAAAAGTATGAAAAAATCCATTATTAGTGTAGTATATTATTATATCCCATGTAATTAGTATATTAGTATATCGCTATTAACCTATTTTGCGTTGAATTTTCATCGATGTTAAGCCTAACAAAAATTTTTTAAAATAATAATCGTCGCTATTGTGGCGCCACATCACTAGCGGACATTTGAAATTTGCCGACTAGGACGGTCGGTTAACCGAGGGGTCAGTTGATCGGGGGGCGGATAATCGAGGTTCTACTGTAAATTCATTGTTTTGAAAAGAAATGTTTTTATTTTCTTCATCAAAAGTTAGGCTTGCTTACTTTAAATTGATTATAAGCATAACTGTCAAAATAGTTGAGCTTTGAGGTCAAAATAGGCAATTTAATCTTTTAACTTTTTTTAATGCATTTTCATTTAGTTGTAATGAGAAGACTAACAATTATTATTAGTGATCCAAAGAATTATACCAGTACTTACTAGTAGGATCATTCATGCCTCTGAATAACAAGTTTATATGGTAAAAATAGCAAAAATAATAAAATTAACTTAAATCATTAAGATGATTTCTGTTGAAAGATATATATTGGTAAAGCTAATGACTATAGTCAGTAGTAAAATTTGTTGAAATATAAAATTTGAATGTATTATGGGAATGTTACAGTTTTTGTAAAATTAGGAAGAAACACAAGACAGCTATTATTAAATGACTGAATTTTTAATATAAATTTAATTATAAAGTTTCCTGAAGAAAATGAATAATTTTATGTATGTAATATATGTAATATGAAGTTCTGTTAAAAAAAATTGATGAAATTTACTGGAAGAATTGAAAATGTTTGAAGTAAATTTAACTAAATTATTAAAAGAGAAATTTTTAATATTATCTAATAAAAATGCTCATATACAAACCAAATCTTGTATTTATTACAGAAAATAAGAATCAGAAATATATAATTAGAGTATGAACATATATTTTTGAGGCATTTATGTAATTTTTAAATTTAGTAGAACATGCATTATAATGAATGTTTACAAAACTTGGCACCATTCTAATAAAATAAAAACAAATAAATAAGTATATTCCTAAAGTTGAAGTAACAATAAACATTTAATTAGAAACATTTTAAACTATCTTTTGATCATCTTCAGATAAAAGAATACAATAAACAGAATAGAACTTTTTTACATTTAAAATTATAATTTTTCTGAGTGAACAATACATACATTAAGAATCTTGAAATCTAATATATAGAATTGTAGATACAGTATTTATTAAATTTGAAAAGTTTACACTATCGATTTTATGTGAAGTTTTTTGTTTTTTTTTATAAAGTGAATAAATCGATTTTAATAAAATACTTATATAATTGTGTGCAAAGTGGGCTTAGATAGAGTTGGCTGAATATTACATAATGGAAAGGTAAAATGCAGACACCTTAATAATTCAGGGAACAATGCCATAATTGATCAGGCAATGTCAGGGAATTAAAGATGGAATTACCTGTATGGACCCTATTATGAAAAAAAAATCAGTATATTAAGAGAGAGAGGTTTATTTTGGAAGGAAATTTAATTATAACTAGTATGTTCAGATTTATTTAGTATAGAAGAGGAACTTAAAATTTATTAAGTTCATGATTAAGTTATTTTATCATTTCAGATCAGATTCTATTCATAGTACAAAATATGATGGAACCGATCACCATGAAATACTTCGTGGACATGAAACATTATCTCATCCATTTGCAATTGCACTTTTTGATAATTATGTATATTGGACAGACTGGAGAACCAATTCTGTTATCAGAGTAAATATTAATGAAATTCTTTTTAAATTTAATTTTTAATCTTAATCAATTTTTTTCAAACAACAATTTATGCCATCAAGTAAAGTAATTTATTGATGCTTAAAAAGATGTTGTTTCGTAAGGATTTTTAAAACATTATGAGAATGATATTGACAAAATTGTGGTAAATAATAGAATACTTTAAGATGCATACAACACCAAAATATAATTTTTGACTGAGTGAAAATTAAGTAAAAAATAAAAAGTGATTTTCTTTAACATTATGTCTATAGAAAATTTTTTATTTTTAAACATTTATTTGAACTTCTTCCAACCTAAATAATAAAATGAAAATTGATTAATGAAATAAAGACAATTAGTAAATGTTTTTGAGATAGGTGAGAACATGTGCCTGCAAGAGAGTAAGATGAATTCAATGTTAAAAATAGTTAAAGTTTTTTAGGATGTAGGAGTGAAATTGAGTTGATTTCCATTGATTATCATTAGAAATATATTTTATTGAGTGGAAGAATTTCTATTATTAGACATTTCTTGAGCCTAAACATTAAAAACATTAGAACATTTTTAAAAATTTTGAAAATTTTTCAAATTCCAAATTTTTTACTTTCTTCTTGCATGCACACATCCTCATCTATCTCATATTTGCTAATTGTTCTTAATCTATACTAATATTATAAAGAGGTAATGTTTGTAAGTATTATGTAAGTTTATATGCAGCAGGTAATCTCCGAAACTACTCATCTGATTTCAAAAATTCTTTCACCAATATTTAGAATGGAACTTCAGGGTGGACATAGGCTGTATATTTTTCCGTTAAACATGGGAGATGAACAGTTCTTTACGATAAGCCTTCCCCGTAAGGCTTACCGTAAAGAACTCTGCTTCTACTTATACTATTTTAGATGCTGTGTTTTGCGTTTTTGATTGCATTTTAATAGGGTACATCAACAGAATGTACACTAAGAAGGGATTTTTCAATATTCCCCCCGCGGGGGAGAGGGACAGGATTAAGGCTTACTGTGAAGAACTTGGCTTCTATTATACTATTTTAGATGCGGGTTTTTGCGTTTTTGAATAGGGTACGTCAACAGAATGTACATAAGAAGGGATTTTTTGATATTTCCCCCGCGAGGGAGAGAAACAGGATTAAGGCTTACTGTGAAGAACTTGACTTCTATTATATTATTTTAGATGCGAGTTTTTGTGTTTTTGGTTGCGTTTTAATAGGGTACGTCAAGAAAATGTACACTAAGAAGGAATTTTTTGAAAAATTCCCCTTAGTGTTATACAAAGGAAGTTTATAGGGAAGTGTTATACATTTATAATAGATACATTTTGAGCCACAACAAGGCATGGCGGGGTCTGCTAGTATGTTATAAAATCCTTAAGAAATGATGTCCTTTGTTACTCGTAAGTATTAAGCACAATGCTTAAATTTTTAAAGTTTTGTTTTTACTGCAAAAACTAAGATTCATTTTAGTGAAAATTAATTTTTATAGGAAATATTGTTTTAATACTTTTCAATCGTGCTTTAATCGAGCTTTTCTTCTGACTGCTGCTTATCTATATCTATATCTATACTAATATACGTGGTACGATCCAAAAGTTCAAGGACTGCAGTAATGTATGACGACAAAAGCATGTATTTAAAGTTACAGCGTATGAAATNACATATAAAATACAGTTATTCAAACATATCAAAAGCTTCTATCAGTTTTTAGGGTATGCTAACAGGAGTTACAAGCATTAAAACACTGAAATATTCTGATATAATTCCATCTGCATAAAATATGTAGGTTTATCACATTGAATCAGTAATAAATGAAATAAAATTTTTGTTTGATTAATAGTTAAGATAGATTACAAGCCAACCAATGTCGTATGTTATCGGGCTAGATATCAGCTATAATACTAATAAATTATGAAACAATTTTGTACTAGAGGGAGACATTTAGGCACCATCTCTTAATAAATTTAATAATTATAATTTTTAATTAAATAATTTAGACTACTGGAAGAAAAGGTCTGGGTAGTGTAATTGGCAACGCATCTGCATAGTAAGCAGGAGTTGCAGGTTTGAGTCCTGCTCTGGCCAATTCTTTTCTTCCAGTAGCTTAAATTATTTAATTAAAAATTATAATTATTAAATTTATTAAGAGATGGTGCCTAATATCTCCCTCTAGTACCAAATTGTTTCATAATTTATTAGGATTATAGCTGATATGTAGCCCAATAACATATGGCATTGGTTGGCTTGTAGTTTATAATGTATTGGGTTGTAATGTTGTTATTTGTTTAGTTAAAATAAATATTTGAAATTATAAAATTATTTAAATAATAGAAAGATTTATTTTATTAACCGGATTATTATTATTTTTTTTGTTTGTTCAGTTTTATACTTCTATGCATTTGTAGCTAGAACTATATTAAGATGATCAATACAAAACCTTCCTCACTTATTTCTAGCCGTTTATACACAAGTATGGACGTTTTCGGCCTTCTTAATAGGCTTTCTTCAGGTCTATTACTATTATTCACCTGAAGAAGGCCTATTCTAGTAATAGGCCTTCTTCAGGTGAAGGCCTATTACTAGAAATAAGTGAGGAAGGTTTTGTATTGATCATTTCAGTTTTATTAATAATTTTTAGATTAGAATAAATATTGAATTAAAATAAATAAAAGTTTGATAATTTTATTTTAATTTTAGAATTACTAGCAAAAACTGAAAATAATTGGTTTATTCATTTTAATTTATATATTTTTGAAATTTTTTTGTCTCAATTGTTATATTCTGAAAATAAGCTTGATTTAAAAGAATAAATTTTTAACTGTTTTGAATAACCTGAGCTTTGTCTTCAGAACATAACACAATTAATTTTAAATTTAGTTAAAATGAATATTAGAATATTTTTAATTATTATATTTTGTGTTGGAGATGTAAAAAATTAACAGTGTGATAATTAATAGGCTAATAAATGGAATGGAACTGATGTAAGAATTGTTCAACGAGCTATTACTCAACCTTTTGATATTCAAGTATTTCATCCTTCTAGACAGCCCAGAGGTAAGAAAATTTTATTTACTAAATATTATTTTCTAATATCAAAATACAACATATACAAAAGTTTTGTTTTGAAAGGAAATTTACTAAGAAAATTGCGTCTTAAATTTTATTTATTAAGTTATTGTTAAATGTTTAATTTTGATTTTGTTCAAATCTTATTATTTTTTATATTCTCATGAGCAGAGCTTGATTTCAAAAAAAAAAAAAATTACCTTGTGCATGAAATTTAATATAAGCCCTGCCCCACTCTCATTACAATTTTAAAACTAAAATCTCTCTCTCTCACTGTTTATCTCATTCTCTTTTCCCCATAGAGCCTGCAAATGCCTCCCAATAAATGGATGTGTAGTTTGTTTTCTGTAGTTAATCCAGCTCTGTTTATGAGAACTGAAAATGATAATAGGATTTTGAAATCTTTTTTTTTCCTCCTCGTAACAAACATGATATTTTATGTATTTTTTAATATTTATATCAGAATTTTAATATTTAATTTTATTTAATTTTAGTAAATTTGTTAATAAAATTATTTTTAAGGAAATAAAGTTAACCCATGTGCTATTAATAATGGTGGATGCTCTCATCTCTGTGTTTTAAGTTTTAACAATACTCATCGATGTCATTGCCCTCATGTTACACAATTAGCTAAAGATGGCAAAACTTGTTTAAGTGAGTACTTTTTAATTTATTAATTATTTATTTATTATAAATTAGAAATATACAAACCCATTACTTCTGATATATCTCTGCTTCAACACACAATTAATGTATGTGGGAGCTACTGGACACACTTTACTACAAAGAATTAAGGAACACAAATGTTAAAAAAAAAACTTAACATTATGGTCTTAGTGGTTTATGCCTCCCAGCAGGATGTATGGATAAAATGGGATGAGGCTAAGATCATTAGGCCATCCAAGAGCTTTAATTCCATCAAGTTATTGGAGCTATTAGAAATTTTTAAAGCTAATAGAAACACTTTTGTATCCATCATAGGGATGCTAACATGTTATTGATGGCATGGAAATTTATATATTAGCTTTAACTTGTCTCCTAATAATTGTTTACTGTTATTGTCATTTTTATTTTATTTTTGTTTCATTTGTTTGCTTGTATTTGTTTTTATGTTTTGATTATAATATGTATTTATTTATTTTTTATATCCTTTATATTTGAATTGTATGAATGTTCTATTGATTTAGAATGTTCTTCCCATTTAATTTAAATTATTTCTGTTATATTTAATGTTTTTTTGAATGTACTTTTTGTTTGTTTTCATTTAAGTTTGCTGTTCCAACTGAAGAAGGCCTACGGAAGTGGTCGAAAACAGTTTTGGTTAATTAAATATATTGCTGGAATCATATATCTTGTGATATGATTCCAGCAATATATTTAATTAACCAAAATTGTCATATTTAATTGCTTTTTTTTTCAGTTTGTAACATCTGTTAATGATTGATTCTATTTCTCATTTTATTATTGTAAAATCAATTTCATCAACTTAATTATCTCATTTCTGACTTCTGATTTTCTAACATTGAGTTCAGATGCAATGATGTTACTTTTTTTTTTTTTTTTTTTTGTAATTTTTCACGACTTAAAAGCTATTAATATGAGGTATTTTATCAAAAAATAACTTACTATTGTTCTTTACAGTTTTGACTGCTTTTAATTATTGATAAAATTTTGTTATTGAATTTGATACTGCATTTAGTTTACTAACTTATTTAAATGAACCACTAAATTATTAAACTTTTCCTCAAAATACATATAAAAACTGTCAGACATGTTCTCACATGCATCCTCCTGTTCCTTGTTGAAATAGCATCAAATTTCAGCATTTTAAAACCAGGTTTACTTGGTGAATGAACTCTCTTTCCTGAAGTTTTCAACATCCTATGACTTATCATCAGTGAAGGTCTCTCTACTGGTCCAGGATTTTGCTCAGTTTCACTTATAAATAGTAATACTAGAATCAGATCCAACAAAAATGATCTGTCGATTTCCCATATACATTCTCATCTACGTGGGTCGTTCAATAAGTCCTTAGAAAATCCAATAGATGGCGCTTGTAGCCTCAAAAATGGCGCGTTTTTTGTAAGCATGATGTTTCACTAGACAGTTGTGAAAATCTCAGTCATATCCATGATATGGTTTAATTTTTATTGTCAATTGAAGCAAGAAACTTTTGTTTATTTAGAAAAATGGAAAAAAGTGAGTTTCGAGCGGTGATTAAACACTTATATTTAAAAGGCTTAACACCAAAAGAGATCAAAGCTGAGTTGGATGAAGTTCATGGCACATCTGCTCCTGTGTTTGCAACTGTTTACAATTGGGTAAATGAGTTCAAACGTGGTCGTACATCCACAAAAGATGAACATCGTTCGGGACGTCCAGTGGAAGTGACTACTCCCGAAATGATTGACAAAATCCACGATATGGTTTTGAGTGATCGACGAATCAAAGTGCGTGAAATAGTTGAGGCCACAGGCATATCACAAGGTACAGTGTTTTCAATTTTGCACGAAAAATTGGGTGTGAAAAAAATCTCGGCAAGATGGGTGCCGCGTTTGCTCTCAGTGGAGAATAAACGTAATCGTGTGGTCGACTCTGAGGCAATTTTGGCACTTTTTCGTCGCAATCCTGACGAGTTTCTGCGTCGATACATAACTGTGGACGAAACATGGATACACTATTATACTCCAGAGACCAAAGAACAGTCAAAACAGTGGGTTTTTGAAGGCGAAAGGGCTCCAAAGAAGGCGAAGACAGTGAAATCGGCCGGGAAGGTGATGGCCACGGTTTTTTGGGATACACGCGGAATCATCTACACCGATTACTTGGAAAAAGGAAAAACAATAACTGGAGAGTATTATGCATCATTATTGCACCGGTTGAGCGAAGAAATCAAGGAAAAACGTCCTCATTTGAAAAAGAAAAAGATCCTCTTCCATCAAGACAATGCACGGGTGCACACCTGTGCAGTTTCAATGGCCAAAATCACGGAATTAAAGTTTGAATTATTACCACATCCACCGTATTCACCGGATTTGGCCCCCAGTGACTTTTTTTTATTTCCAAATTTAAAAAAATGGCTTGGTGGACAACGATTCACGTCAAACGAGATGGTCATTGCCCAAACAAATGCCTATTTTGAGGACCTTCCGAAATCTTACTTTTTAGATGGCTTAAAAAAGTTGGAGAAACGCTTGGAAAAGTGTATAGAGCTTAAAGGAGATTATGTTGAAAAATAAAAAAAAATCTACCTAAAATAATTTGTTTTTCTATCTTTTTCTAAGGACTTATTGAACGACCCTTGTATTTCAAACAGCAGTTTACTAAATATACCTTTATGTTAACTCAGCAAAGAAACACACCAATAGCAATCACTGCAAACAGCACATTTGGTACTAAAATATTAAATATATTTTATATAATGTGTATATATATGTATATATTATCTATATAAATATTTATAGTAATAAAATAAACTTTATTTTATTATGTACAATTATTTTGAATATTTGATAAAATAATTTATATTTGTATTATATTACATGTTTTAAGAAATTTCAAGAAAATATGTACAGTTAGTTTTTTTTAATATGGTCTTATAAAACAATAACTAAAGCTGATGGAAGGTTTGAGATTATATTTCAATTTAATTTTATTTGGATGTAATAATTTTTTATTGTAATTTTTATTTTCCATAATTCAGTCAGAGCTGCAGTATTATTTTTAAGTTTTAGTATATTTATCTTATATTGACTTATATTGTATTACATAGTTCTATTCTCTTATTTCAAATTAAAATTATTGTAAAACCATTTAATATTAGTGTTCATAATAAGGATTATTTAACATAATTTTGATTTTAACTTTTTTTATATTTTATAGAATTTTTAATATATTTATTATATTTATTCATTGGTACAGCTGAAATTTTGAAAAATTATCAGACTGTACTTTTAATAATAATTATTTTGAATTACAATAGTCAACATGCTTAATCATTAAATTAGAACTGATTATATATTTTACTTTCAGAAAATGAAAGAGTTCTTCTATTTTCTCGTCCAAATGAAATTAGAGGAGTTGATCTTGATATGCCCTATTATCATATTATTCCTCCTTTCAGTTTACCTAAGGTTTGTCTTAAAGAATTAAAATTTCATAAAAAAAATATTATAAGAATATAAGATTAATTACAAGACAAATGATTTTTTGTTTTTTAAAAAATAGGTTATTAATGCAACTGAAATAGATTTTGATGCAAGAGAACATCAGATATACTGGGCAGATACACATTTGAATGAAATTAAAAGAGCTGCTTTGACAGGCATAATTATGGATACTATTATTGATATGAGTAAGTAGAAAATAAAATAGTAATTTATTGATATTGATTAAAAAAAAGTTCTTTTATAAATTCAGTTAATATTTCAATTTTATATTTTAAAACAGTAACATAAAAGTTTGTCTGAATAAAAAAATCAATCATTTATGTATTATAATGATTTTATAGTAATTAATTAATTTTTAACAATTTCAAAAATTTGTTTATCTAAGCTTAAATTATTTATTTATTTTATAATAACTATAACCCGGGGCAGATTTAGGGGTATGCAACATAACTGTATCCCCTTTTGAGGGATTTTCTCAAGTAAAGCCAAGTACAGTACCTCAGGTAGTAAAAAGTTTTGTAAGACATATGGTTTTCTTTCTGACTACTTCCTAAAGATTTCTTGATCTAATGTTGTCTGTAAAACATTATAATTAAAAATCAATCAAAATGATTAACAGATAATTTTTGATTATTATTGTTTATTCATTTGAGATTTTGAGGTGTTTATTCATTTGAGTTTTTGAGGTGTGGCTAATTTGTTTGAACAGTGGATGAAAGCCCACTTTACTAGGGCTGTAAACGCTGTTTTACAACTAAAAGGATCATTTAAGCTGATTGGGATAAAGAAGAGTTAATATTCCAATTGCTGCCTTTGGTACTGAGCATACAAGTTCTGTTCATTGTTTTGGCTGCTCCTTTGTTTCTGATGTGTAGTGGTGGGCCCAAGTCTCTCTGTGGTAACAAATCTGTGCAGAAATTCAATTGCATTTTTCTTGAAATGATTCAGACACACTTAAGAAATTTGACTGGAATGCATTTTTGCTCAATTGTTAACAAACTTGACACTCATCTTGAGGCTAGTCTTTTTGTATGTATGTATGTATGTGTGTGTATGTGTTTTCAACCAATATGATATATATATACACACACATCACATCACATCATATTCCTATAGAAACTAATTTTTTCTACAACAACTATTTGATTTTTAATTGCTATCATAAAATAGTTTTTTTTTTCATAAAATTTAACACCAGTTTAATATGTTTAAGTGAAATGTAAGATTTATGAAACTCAAATCTTAACATATAACCAGATACAGATTTATCTATTTTGAAGACATTATTTAGGAAACGATTTTGAATCATTTCAAGCTGAGTCAAAAAATTTAGATAGCAAGAAAAGATCAATAATTAATAACAAACATTACAATGAATATACAAATGACTGGAAAATAATAGTAAAAGAATTTAACATTTTATGTATGAATATACATCATTACACTATATGTTGCAAATTCAATATTGATTTAAATAATGTGTAAAAATTTTACTTTCAGTTATTGTAAAACCATATGGATTTGCAATTGACTGGGTATCTCGAAATATTTTTGTGACATCTCAGGAAGGAACAAAATCTCATATATATGCCTGCAGTTTAAACGGAGAATATTTAACAGACATCATTAATACTGATATTTATGATATTCGATCTTTGGTTGTTCATCCTTTTCAAGGGTAAGTATAATTATGTATGCTATTAATATTTTTATATTAAAATGTTATTCATTGATTTGTCTTAAAATTCTCTAAAATTAATAATTTATTTTCCTCCTTTTGCATTTATAATATATTAAGGCAGAAAATGATAATTTTGAAGAATAATCTGTTTAAGTAACTTATTGTTTATAAGTTTATTACATTTTATTAAATTTAGCATAATATAAATATATAGATTAAGTAAAGTTAGTTTAAAAGATTGCATAATTATGTTATAAAGATTTTTTTTTATATGTTTTATATAATATGTTGTTATTTATATTATATCTATTTATGTTTTGATGTAACATATAGAGAAAACATATAAAAAGATTATTATTATTTTTTGAATAAAATGTATTTATTAAATTATTGTTGTAACTTTTAATATTAAAAGAAATGTTTTACAATCTTCAAATAATGTTAATAATTTTGCCACGTCTTGTTCAATAGTGAGGTTGTGTCTGAAGTTTTCATCTCTAAAATGTTTACGTCACATCTTGAGCGCTGCTTACAAGATAGCAGTGCATGACATTTGACGTTCACATTTTAGAGGTGAAAACTTTTGGCTGCAACCTGTCTAATGAATAAAATTAGAGTCAGAAATTCTTGCATATCATAAACCTTAAATAAATTTAACTAATTAAACTTTTACTAAGCTTGGATAATTTAAAGGTGTTGATAAACTATTTGTAAGAATAATTTCTGTTCAAATGTACCAGAAAATTTTGAGACCTAAGAAGTTTACTTATTTATTATTTTTAAATTTATTTTAAGTAAAATGTTTAGATGATTATTTTTATTGTGATACTTCAAAAAGACTTGTTTTAAAATTCATTTATTTTTAAAATTCTTCTTTTAGAATTTATGTTCATTGGAGTAACTCAAAAAATATGCATCCTACAAAAAAGTTCATTAAATCAAAAGTGTTGGACTTCAAGAAGGCCACAAGATGGGGTTATTGGTTTTATTGTAGATGTTGCTATAATCAATGAAAACAGGATCACTTTCATTTTCTTAAATGGGAACCCCATTTTTTATTGCATATTATAATTTTACATCAAAAACAAAAACTTTTATCTAAAACACTTTTTCAAAAGATACACTTAGAAGTTATGAATGTTTGAAGTTTAATGCAGCTGCACACTGTGCAAGCATGAATCTGTGGACCTGTAAAGTTTAGTGAAAAAAGAAAGAAAAATACTAAAAATTTATTACTATTATTAATTGGAGGCATCAATATCTTCTCTTTATCACAAGCTTGATGGTTTTAACATGTTATGGTGCTAGTGTGACGTTTTGGGTTGGCACTTCTTTAGTGCCCTGTCAGGATTGACACCACTGTGTTTATTGGAACACGGAAGCTGAGACGGCAATTTCCATGTCACACTGTTGCGCAAGCGATCCTGTAAGTGATCAGACGGATTCATAATGTCAGCTGATCAAGAGACAGCATGTTGAAGAGACTCGAACTACAGTTAACACTTGACAAGGATTTAATTAAAAATAAATTGGATAAGATACAGAGGTTCTAAAGTTGGTTGCGGAGAGAGCGAGTTCACATAAGGTTCGCATGGTGATAAATACCTTTGGTAATAGATATCCCGATCAGGGTTGTGTCGAATCAGAGAATCAGGTAATAGTTCTTTTTATAGGCTTTTTCAGGATTCGTCCAAGGGTGAAATATCCAATCAAAATGTTCCGTTAAAATATCCAGGCTCTATTGTGCACTAACACAAAAAAAATGGTTGTTGATAAAGGTTATCCTATGGAATGGGTGACAACTTTTTCCTTCTCAAGGACTAAAACGGCGACTGACTTTTTTTCGGCTGTCTCTGGCGATATTCATGGATGATATCGGCCATGCAGAGGCTAATAGTTCACGAGAAAGCATCATGCTGCCTTCGAGAAAATGTAACGGGAGACTTTCTCAGGTAGCTATGAACAACAATCGTTACGTCTCTCGAATAATGTTAATATTAAAGACTAGTGCTAATATAGGAATTTTTTTCTACCTCACACTAGTATTAGTTCATTATTTATAGAAAAATAATGATTTCACCAAATACTAATAGTTTCCTAATGTTTTAGCATTTTTATTTATATATTTATTTATTGAACTTCACAGAGATCAACAGTCAAGCATGGGAGTGATATGATGGTTATGTAAAAGTTCAAATGTTCACAACTTCTGATAAGTGCATCTTTTGAAGAAAATGTTTTAGATAAAAGTTTGGTTTGTACATAATCATAATATACATTAAAAGTAAGAGTTTCCATTTAAGGAATCTAAGCTGATTTCATTCTCATTGATTGTAGCACCATTTACGATGAAACCAATAACCCCATCTTGTAACATTCTTGAAGTTTAATACTTTTGGATTAAAGAATTTTTTTGTAGGATTCATATTTTCATGAGTTTATTCCAGTGAATTGATTAAAATGACTCATCCTATATATGTCACACAAGTCTAAACTTTTTAAATTTGAAGATTGATTCACGCATATTTTTGAACTAAAGATAGTTTTTATAATTTTCAATTTGGAAATGATCAATTTTAAACTTAATTTAGTGCATTTTAGTAAAATGGTATAACAATTATTTATACATTTATGAAAAGTCCTAGACTAAAATATTGAATTTTTAAACTTTGGCAGACATTTGCATTATATCATAGTATTGCAGAATTCTGGGATCTGTAATCACAGGTAATAAATTGTTGGCTTAGGCCAAGATTTGGTGACCTATGACTACAGAACATCATGTAGCTTTTTGAGAATAATATTCAGCTTAATTAAGAATGTTCACACTCCTGCATGTAGGTCTCAATTACTAAGATAGACCAGTAGCTAGTAAAGTATTACATCTTAATGAAATGCTTATTACTAGGTGTGTGTGTGTGTGTGTGTGTGTGTGTGTGTGTGTGTGTGTGTGTGTGTGTGTGTGTGTATGTATTTGTATAGCACACTATTTTTTTTTGTCAATAGCTATTCTTCTTTAATTTCACAGAATCAATTTTTGTGAACTTACTTTTGCATCAATGGAAATATTCTTTACATTGTTTGTAGTCATTACCAGTGTAAAATCTGTACCTGTGTTTTAAAAAATCATGTCCAGTAGATGTATAGTTAGGAAAGTGGAGGAAAGTTTTGAAGGAAAGTGAAGAGAAACAAAACATGAAAGTATAATTTGGAATATAGTCAACTGTAATGAAATTAATTTTAAATAAGGCAGTAATAAGAGAATTCTATACTTCAATGATTAAATATGCAAAATTTGTCAGAATATGAAAATACATAAAAAGAAATTAGTGATAATGAAAAGATAAAAAAAAAGAAAAAAAACATAACAGCAACACAACTGGTAATGAAGATAGATTATAGCAATCTATAACAATACAAAGATGCTGCTACAGATTGCTGTAGGCAGTTTGTTATTACTTCATTTAAATTTTTAAAATAAATATTTACTAAATAACATCTCATGTCAAGTATGTTTTAGTTACTTGACTTTTTTTAAAAAATGATTACTGCAACATGTATTATATTTTCAATTTAAAATATAAATTATAAGTATAATTAATAGTTTTTCAATCATTTTTCATTTATGTATCAATACCAGTTTTTTCAAATTTTGAGAAGTTCTTACAAAATAAAAAGATTGCTTACTTCTGTTCTAAATTATTTTATTTGAACATTTATATATATTTGTATTTTTTTTCTTCTTATTATTTTTTATTTATTCATTTTTCAGCTTAATCCTCTGGGCAGATCATGGTTCAAATGACTATACTATAAATATTGCAAATATGGATGGAAGCAATAGAAGAGTATTAACTTCACAAGAAAATAATTCTAATTTAATCTCACCAATGAGTATGTATTATAAAATTTATGATTATTGATGATGAAACAAATAAAATTAAATGCATATTTAAATTAAAACAATGATAAAATTTGTATAAATATGATAACAGATTTTAATCTGTTATAAAGATTCAATTTTGAGTTTTTTTTCATAGGATGCATTATAGGATGTATTTAAATGCTTTAATGATATAATGCATATATAAATTTATAATTAATAATGAAGATATGAAAATTTGAAAGGGTTGGGCATTATCTTGCTAGAAAACTATGTTGGGTGTAGCATGCACCATTGGCCAAACCACAGGCCCCACAATTTGCATGACATAATGGTCTGCTATCAGATTATCAGAATGTGCTCCAGTGCTGTCCGCTGATTGAACATGATGCCTAGTATGAGTCCAGTGTGATGTTCTGCATAAAGGGCTGGCATGTACTGTTTCTAGGATACTGCTACACCCATCCAGGGTCGTCATTTCTCCACAGACAGAAGCAGGATTCATCTGTAAATAATTTATGATGCCATTCAGTACTCCAGTTGCAATGACTATGATACCATGTCAGGCATGCAGCTCTGTGTGAAGTGGTTAATGGCACCTCTGTTCTGGTTGCCATGCATGCAGCTTGACTTCATGTAACTTGTGAATGGTTTGGGTGGATACTGATGCACTCATTGATGGTGATAGATGGCTTCAGATGTTACATGCTGTGGCAAACAGGTCTTGATAGGCCATTTGGTGAATCTGCTGGTCTTGTAAAGTACTATATTATTTTTCTGCCTTCTACAACGATTATCGACACGACTGTGTGCTGGAAATAGCTGTTACCTAACAGGTACTTTATGCGGATTTGCGTTAACATGCCAGGCCTGGACTTTAGTATGCACTGAATTAAATAATGACAAAGTTTGTCAATAACAAATCAAAATTTAATAAAAGTTCTGGTAATAAACTATATACAAAATTTAGTAAAATTCAAATAACAATTTATTCAATGAAAGTCAATAAGAATCAACCCGACAAAACCCAAATCAATCTATTTTCTAACTTAATTCTATTCCCCTTTGGAATTCGACAAAATCAAAGACTTAATTTATGTACAATAATTCTTACGAATTAAAGATCCTAATCGTCACCTCAATATACTAGGAACCTATTTCCTCAACTCTCAAGACTTTCTCTATTCGTCGATCCACAAATCGAATAACTTCAAAATCTTGGAACTATTTGATCCTATCGGACACCTCTCTCATTCACTGCTACGAAGCTCACCAAGCTCGTTGCTATCAGAAGCTCACCTCGTCCATCTTCACTTGAGGTTCGGTCTTTATACTGTGAGGTGACGTCACAATTCTGAATGCGATCACTCCCCTCATTTACATACTTATTTGCTAACAATAAACCTTTTCTATTTGTCTGGCAGCCTATTTTCCGACAATACTCGCTAACCTTTTACATTATTCTTTTTGACAATTTTTTGAGGATGTTTTTTATTCTTTAAAGTTTAGTGCGTCCCTAAGTTGTGCTTATGGGGTCTCCCCCTCTTTTCTTGGTGCGGACTTACTTTTTTTTGCTCGGGAGCACAAGTGTGCATGAGTTTTTTCTACAGCACTTTTCTCTTGTTGGTGAGTTGGTTTCTCTTCTATTTTTAAGTTTCTAAGGTGAATGGTGAGGAAACCTTCATCCTAACAAACATAAGCCCCAAACAAAATATAATATAAAGCAAAATAAAAATTAAATAAAAATAATGCTTGGACTTGGTTCCTTACAGTCTGTGCATTTTGTCATGCGTCAGTGTGATTCACTTACTCTTTGAAATGTCTGAAGATGTTTCTGTGTTCATTGTGTCACACCTTGCTGGATGGTACTCATGTTGTGGCAACCATACACATTGATAAATTGAGGTCACACAGCTCAAGGATATGTTCCCCATTCCCCAGCTATTAATTAGTGGTATTTGGCTTGCTATAATCTTCAAGGCATTTTCTTCGCTTTTTAGAAAGTTTGACTGCTACAAAGTGTTGCAGATAACATTTACGATTCAAGCTGGTTGCTGGTCTTTATAGTCTGAAACTGAATTAATGTGCTTTCTTACCACACCGGGTTGTATATACTCCAAACCAACAACTACCTACTATTAACCAATAACTGGTGCGAAATTCTTTAAAATCGGCGAACATTTTCGATTCCCCTCCTGGGATCTTCTTCAGGCTTACTTCTTTATAGCTTTCGTTATAACCGGATTCTTTAATTCGAATGTTTTTGAAAAAATGTAACGTGCCATTTTTCGAAAAAATTTCCGAAAATGGAAGGAATCCACGTGTTATTTCAAATGTAATTTTCTAACAATGGGGAATCGTTGTGTGCATTACTTCATAAAATTTATTTTATACAATATATTATGATTTATCATCAATTAAAATTTCCATGCTGCAGAGAGATTTATTTCTTCTTTGAAATTAATGCATGCGGATTTACGATCGGCTTTAAAGATTTCCAGTGCCTCCAAAGTTCTTAGCCTGAAACTGGTTACCATATGGCCCGATGCATACATAAATTTAATCATTTGCATATCTCTGTCACCTCTTCTGGTTGCAATTTGCATGTGGCTATGTGCATTTTTTTGTAGTGTTGCAATTTCACTCTTGAGAAGTATATATGTCAAAGAATAGAATACTAATGAGAGAACAACATAGTAACATCTAGAGCTATATATTAACATTAAATGTCTGTAAATAAAATGAACGATTAAAAAATTAATATATACATATATAAAGTTTGACATTTCACTTTCATTATTTTAAAGACTCAAAAAGTTTTCTTCTTTAACAAGTCTGTAGGAAAAAATGTAATGCTTATACCGAAAAAATCCAATGAAGCCAATAAATTATGCAAGCCATGATCTGAAGTTTGGCTCATCAAACTAAAGTTGTAAATGCCTTCTTTTTCACAACCAGATGATAACATTTTTGAGTTAACTTGAGTGTTTACTTTCTGACTTCTAAACGAATTATGAAAAGTGTACAGTTAACCTTAAGTGGTCATCTAAATATATAAAATTATTTGTCCTGACTGAGTGACTGACTGACTGATTCATCATTGTCCAGTGCAAACCATTGAACCTAAAATGGTTAAATTTGGTACACAGTTAGGGTACGTCATGGAAATGCACACTAAGAAGGGATTTTTTTAATCCTCCCTGTGGAGGAGAGGGAGAGCATTAAGGCTTAACTTGAAGAATGGCTTCTACTGTACTATTTTAGATGCAATTTTTTGTTTTTAACTACGTTTAGTCTTCATTGAGTACTTAGATGTATTAAATTGATAACATTTTAGACATTGTTATAAATATTTTTATATATTTTGATTTTTTAACCAAATGTTTGAACCGTTTTAAATTTGAATTTGATGTTGCATATTGGTTCGATTATAGAAGGATTGTAAATGTTCCATAAAATTGATGATGTTGAAAATGTTTGTTTGAAGCAGTAAAATAATTCTCATCAATAACAGGTATGTGTTATACAATGATTACTGTGGTTGTCGAAGATTACTGTCAATAGTAATAACTTAAATTCCGAATGTACAATATTTACCAAATCATCCCAATCATTTGCCCAAGCAATGCCAGGTTCATTTGTTAGTTTTTTATAATTCAGTAGCATTAACTTAAGTGTTTTATAATTCATTTACAATTTACAGTGTGTCTATCATTATTTTTCCTGATCTCAACAATCTCCACATTTTATTATTTTTTTCTTTTTGTGGAAATTTGATTTCAAATCTTGATGATTTTGTACTCTGAGGGGATGGCATGATGCTGGAATCACCAATTTTGATCGAGCTTGGTGAGGTTTTAGTCCCCAATGACTGACATGTGCCAAGCAGTAAGGTGCAGTACTTAAAATTAAACAAGAAAATTGACGTTCAAATCTCAAAATTTCAAATCTCAAAACTTTTAGAATTTTTGTCATTTGTAGAGGGGCCAGTGGTTTAGTGGGGGAGTGCCAATTTCATAATTGTGAGGTAATATTGTAATGAGTATGATATAATTTTTGTTATGTAGAGTTTAATTATTTAGTGAAAAATTTGTAACTAATGATTTTTGTATAAATATAATTTATTTTTAAATAAGATTTTTAATGTGATTATTTTATTTTTTTAACATACAGGTTTAGCAATTGATTTTGAATCACAACCTAATAAACTTTATTGGGTTAATTTTGGAACAAAAACAATTCAATATGCTGATTTGGAAACCTTCATAGTCACTACATTAAATATTTCATCAGAATATCTTGACAAACCTTGTGCTCTTACTTTATATCATGACAAACTATTGTATGCGACACATGGAGATGAATCAATTCATATGATCAACAAATTAAATGGTAGTGATCATATTATTTTGAGAAACAACACAGATGAAGTTCTTGCTTTAAGGGTCTATGATGCAGCACTTCAAACAGGTAAGAGTTTGCTTGGGTGGGGAGTGTAATTATAAAACAAAATACCAAAAACAAATATTCTTCTTGTGTTGTGTTTTATTATTTAATTTTGAAAATAATAAAGTCCTTGTAAATTTCATAATTTAAATTAAACTGTTTCTTTAAGCAAAGAAAACAAACTGCATGTTTGAAGCCTAGGAAAAACTGAAAGATTTGGTTTTCTTTTCTCCTAGATTTTACGTAAGCAGTTTGTTTTCTTTGATTAAAAATTGCCTTTGGAAATGTCAATAATCTGTTGTATAGAAAATTTGTTAAATTGAAAAATGTGTCATTAGTGAAAAGAAAACACAATATGTTGTATGTTTTATTCTCCATGAAAATATTCTCGAATTCATAACAAAATAAAGAAACACGTAGGCATTTTATATGAAAAAAATCAAATAGAAGGTATAATATTTTTTAAAGAAATTGATAAAATAATGTTATGATTGAAATAAATATTCTTAAGTATTTATGAAAAAATAGTCAGTAATTTTTGTTTATATTTAAATTTAAACGAACAACCCTAATTTTATTTGAATCAAAATTTCTGTTTATAATGTGTTATGTGATGATGAAAAATATTTTTTATAGATTTGATGTACCAAAAAAATTCATTATGTGAAACAATTTTTGGATACAGATCATTTATCATGTTATAAATACACTATAATATTTGTACTGTACTTATAGCAGCCATTTGGAGACAAAAATGCAGAAACAGGTGAACAAGAAAAAAGTGTTTTTCATATTTATCAATATGAAAAATATTTTTTTATTCATCTGTCTTTCAAAATTTTGTTATGTAGAAATTTTGTTATGTAACAATTTTGTTAAACAGAGATATTTTTAAACATAAAAAAAAGATGTATTTTTAATGTTCCACAAAATTTTGTTATAAAGAGAAATTCATAATATACGGTGTGTCCAAAAAGTTACTGGACATTGAGAAATTTTTAATGGCTTATCATATATGTACAGTATTGCATACAAGACCTATAAGTTGTATGCAATACCATACATATAACTTTAATGTCATTACAAATTTCTTGATGTGCAGTAACTTTTCAGACAATGCACACTAAGAAGGGATTTTTCTAAATTCCCCTGTGGGGGAGAGGGAGAGCATTAAGACTTAACCTGAAGAATGGCTTCTACTGTACTATTTTAGATGCAATTTTTTGTTTTTAACTACGTTTAGTCTTCATTGAGTACTTAGATGTATTAAATTGATAACATTTCAGACATTGTTATAAATATTTTTATATATTTCGATTTTTTAACCAAATGTTTGAATCGTTTTAAATTCGAATTTGTTATTGCATATTGGTTCAATTATAGAACAATTGTAAATGTNCTTATAGCAGCCATTTGGAGACAAAAATGCAGAAACAGGTGAACAAGAAAAAAGTGTTTTTCATATTTATCAATATGAAAAATATTTTTTTATTCATCTGTCTTTCAAAATTTTGTTATGTAGAAATTTTGTTATGTAACAATTTTGTTAAACAGAGATATTTTTAAACATAAAAAAAAGATGTATTTTTAATGTTCCACAAAATTTTGTTATAAAGAGAAATTCATAATATACGGTGTGTCCAAAAAGTTACTGGACATTGAGAAATTTTTAATGGCTTATCATATATGTACAGTATTGCATACAAGACCTATAAGTTGTATGCAATACCATACATATAACTTTAATGTCATTACAAATTTCTTGATGTGCAGTAACTTTTCAGACATCCTTAAGGAGGTCATTATATGAAAGCTCAGCTGTTTACCATATACTGTATGACGTTCATTATATTTTAAAGTAAACTTTTGAACCGTTTTGAATATAACTCCTTAATTCTATTTTAAAATTTTAGTTAATTTTATTTTGAAATATTAATAAGAAAATCCAAAAAAAAATCAGATAAAATGAGTTTTTAAGATTTATGATTTGAAAAATATATTAATGAAAGAAAACATATTAAATTATAAATTATTCGCTGATGATACATGTAGAAATGCATTATTGTGTCCAAAATAATACAGCTTATCATATCAAGAGCTGATATCTTGATATCAAGCTGTATTAACTTTCAGCATATATATCAATAGATAAGTTAGAAAAACTATATTTCTCATGATAACAAAAGTTCTCATGTTTTATACCTATTTTAAATTTAACTATACAATTTAAAAAATAATAAAATACAAAATTAATACAAAACTGCTAATAAAAGAATAATTGTTTCTTTTTGAGCTTTTTTTTTTACATGCTTTTGTTTTTGGTATAAAAAAACTTTCACTTACATGATCTTTATTTTCTTCTTTTTATTCCAAACATATTCAATTGACTTTAATTTTGTAATATTAACCTTATACTGTTTTAATATTGCTTCAACATTTTTGTAATAGTATTTTTTTTTTTAATATTCTTATTGTAAATTTTAAATTAGTAAGAATTATCTAAGTTTATTTTTATTTAATGTTTATATGATGAATTTATTAATTTAAAATAACTCAAAATGTTTTTCCTAAAGGTGAAAATAGCTGCTCTTATAAAAATGGAAACTGTGATCATTTATGTCTTCCAATATCCAAGACTAGTCATGTTTGTAAATGTACAATTGGATTTTTTGTTTCACCAGATGATCATACAAAATGTATAGGTAAGTTTAATGTTATATAAAAATTAAAAAAAATGAAATGAATTTTGAACAGTTATCATATACAGTGGGTGATCGGTTAACGAACATAATCCGTTCCCAGGCTTTGTTCGCTATCCGAATTGTTTGTTAACCGATTATCAATTTACCATAGGTTTTAATGGAAATTTAATTAATTCGTTCTGGAGACTCCCTAAAATAAAAAATATATACTTTCTTACTACGTTTATTTATATATAATAATAAAAATACATACGTACACAGTCTTGCGTTTTTATTAGTAATGTTTTTTCAGTTTGAAAGGGTTAAAGAATCTGTTTAATGTCGATTGCTTTTCTCTCTTCTTCAGGATTTTTCGTAAGTAATTAATANCTCTTAACATGTCACAGTACTGTTATTTTATCCAAAATGGTCTGCCAACCACAACATTAGCAACAATTGCAACAGAAAATGATATACACATACTTCTCAATGAATCAAGTCTAATATACCCAATTAGATACAGGCAAGCAAAAGATAGAAATTTAATATAATCACAGTTTTTTTTTCTAAAAGAATGTTCTTTGAGATGATACGTTCTTGAAGATTTGATATTTTGAAATTATTATGATAACAGCATTTGAAATTAAGATTATAATTAATCTTAGGGCTTAATGGTGATGATATCTGTTTTTAGTTCTTTATGATTTTGATTCAAATTAGGATCATTGGGAATGTTATCTGTTTTTTGGTCATATTGTTTTTTTATTATGTCACTGAATGAAAGTGGAACTTTTGGTTTTTTTTCTGTAATAGTATATTGGTTGGAATGTGAACATAGAGAAAGTAATAGTGACACATGGGCTATATATCCATTATACATAGTCACCTTGTTGGTTCAAGTAAGTGTTTCAACATGTCACTAGATTTTGGATAACCTGAATGAAGAATGTTTATGTTTGGCTGCAGAACCAGTCTTCAACAGTGTCTTGGACTTCAGCATAATTAGCAAACCAGCAGGCCTTAAGAACTTTTTTCAGTGGCCCAAAGATGTGGTAGTTACAGGACGATGGGTTGGGGCTTTAGGGGAGGATGGTCAAAGACATTTCAACAGAAACACTACAGCAAATTCTGGCACACTGTTGCCACATGCAGGCATTCATTGTTATGCAATAGAATAACTTTGGCAAGACATTGGGTTACTTACTCTTTATGGGTATTTTGAGTTTGTGTAATATAGTGCAGTATGTGGTTGACAAATCTGTGTCATGATTGTATGCAGTTACTTTATCACATGCAAACAGCACACTAACACTTTATGACAATAGCAGCTTGCTTCCTGATATACAGTGCCATATACTGGCACAAACACAAAGCTCTGGGTATTGAAACAATGACACTAATACAAAAATCTCACTTTCATATGGGTAACCCACATAACATTTTTTAAAGCAATTTGCTATATGCTGTTTGTTTTAAACTGGAATTATTAGTTTATATCTTCTATGCATTCAAAGCTAGAACTACTTAAAATAAGTAAGACAAGATTGTCTTTTCTCAACTAATAATGATATAATAAGTATAATCAAAATATAGTGATAACAATGATTGATACAGTTACCTGAAATGATGAGTCAATTAAATAGTAATTTAATAATTCAATAATCAATATGAAATTCAGTATAATCCAAGCAATTATTAAAATTCCCAATTTAGTTTTTCTGTTATATTTGTTGCATTTAATTCAGTATTTGCATTTTGAGCTGTAGCATTTAATTATTATGATAAATATTCATACTTGAAAAATTGGATTTAATTAAGTATAAATAATGAAACAATATTAGTAATATCCAGCAATTTACTAAATAATAAGAAAAACAAACACATTCAATGATTTTTAAATGATCATCATCAGGTTAAAATAGCAGTTGAACACATATATGAAAATTCAAACATATCTTTAAACAAAAATGGAATAATTATTTCATTGGTGAAGAAGTGCAGACATCAATAATGATGTAATCAGATAGCTTTTAAAGATAAGACTTAAAATTTTAGGCACACTTTAAAGATGGACCTCTATTCTTTAGAGAATGTCTTGACATCACTGTAATTTATTGCAATGTTCTGAAAAAATAGCTTTGTAAATTATAAGTTTCTCCAGAGGTTTCAAATTGTTCCAGTTCCTAATTGGAGCAATGGCTTGATCTCTTAACATGTCAGAGTACTGTTATTTTATCCAAAATGGTCTGCCAACCACAACATTAGCAACATTTGCAACAGAAAATGATATACACATACTTCTCAATGAATCAAGTCTAATATACCCAATTAGATACAGGCAAGCAAAAGATAGAAATTTAATATAATCACAGTTTTTTTTTCTAAAAGAATGTTCTTTGAGATGATACGTTCTTGAAGATTTGATATTTTGAAATTATTATGATAACAGCATTTGAAATTAACATTATAATTAATCTTAGGGCTTAATGGTGATGATATCTGTTTTTAGTTCTTTATGATTTTGATTCAAATTAGGATCATTGGGAATGTTATCTGTTTTTTGGTCATATTGTTTTTTTATTATGTCACTGAATGAAAGTGGAACTTTTGGTTTTTTTTCTGTAATAGTATATTGGTTGGAATGTGAACATAGAGAAAGTAATAGTGACACATGGGCTATATATCCATTATACATAGTCACCTTGTTGGTTCAAGTAAGTGTTTCAACATGTCACTAGATTTTGGATAACCTGAATGAAGAATGTTTATGTTTGGCTGCAGAACCAGTCTTCAACAGTGTCTTGGACTTCAGCATAATTAGCAAACCAGCAGGCCTTAAGAACTTTTTTCAGTGGCCCAAAGATGTGGTAGTTACAGGACGATGGGTTGGGGCTTTAGGGGAGGATGGTCAAAGACATTTCAACAGAAACACTACAGCAAATTCTGGCACACTGTTGCCACATGCAGGCATTCATTGTTATGCAATAGAATAACTTTGGCAAGACATTGGGTCACTTACTCTTTATGGGTATTTTGAGTTTGTGTAATATAGTGCAGTATGTGGTTGACAAATCTGTGTCATGATTGTATGCAGTTACTTTATCACATGCAAACAGCACACTAACACTTTATGACAATAGCAGCTTGCTTCCTGATATACAGTGCCATATACTGGCACAAACACAAAGCTCTGGGTATTGAAACAATGACACTAATACAAAAATCTCACTTTCATATGGGTAACCCACATAACATTTCTTAAAGCAATTTGCTATATGTTGTTTGTTTTAAACTGGAATTATTAGTTTATATCTTCTATGCATTCAAAGCTAGAACTACTTAAAATAAGTAAGACAAAACTTTTCACACTTTGTTTCTAGCATTTTAATCACTAAGTACAAATGGTTTTGGCAGTTTTGAATGGCCTTCAGGTACAATAAGGTCAGTTGGTACCTGAAGAAGGCCATTCAAAATAGCCGAAAACATTTTGTACTTAGTGATTAAACTGTTAGAAACAAAGTGTGAAAGGTTTTGTCTTGCTTATATTAGTTTATGTCTATTGTTTTATTTCTGATTGACTGTTCTGTTTTGTCATATTGAAATACAAATATATTTTAAATATGCATGAAAATAAAAGTTACAGTATTAATAAAATAAAATTTTACATATTATTGAAAGTAGATTTTATTTTCATATTTAACTTGTTTATTATTTCTTTTTTATCTTTTACAGGAACAGAATTATTTTTGATGATTTCACTTAATTGGGTAGTGAAAGGAATATCACTTGAACCAAATGATACAAATGAAAATGTACTTGCACCTATTTCAAAAGTATTGATGGCCACTGCCATTGATTTTTATGATGGTAAGTTAAATAACCATTTCTTTCAAATCTGAAATTTTATATAGTTCAATAACATTCCGCATTACAAACAATGTACAAAAACTGTTTTATTGGAGTAAAATCTGAAACAAATACTAATTCTCAAATGCTTTTAACTGCTTCAGTCCATCATCAGATAAAGCCATAACATAAACAAAAAAGTTTACAAAAATACAAAAATAAACTGAAGTAAACATTTTAAAATTCTTTAAATTTTAAAGCAAATGAAATATTTATCTCCAGTGGAATGCCCTTAAGAACTTAAGTTTAAAAAATAATTTTTGATTATGTAATGGTATTTTTACGAATAATAATCAACATATTTTCATATAAAATTTTTTAAATCCAAAAACTAATGTCACCACCTTAATAAAGAGCTGTGTCTGTATCATTATTGACTCCTATTTCTATTTTTTTATTATTATTCAACAGCCACTGTTGAATAATAATAAAAAAATTTAGCCCATTTACTGTTGGAAGACTTCCCAAATGTTTACTAGTCTTCTTTCTAGCTTTTTCATAGATACAAGACATTCTGCATATTAATTTTCTTCTTTCCTTATCCCTTAATTCTTCTGTAATATTAGCTTCAACTCTAACTACTTTTACATCTTTTCTCATTTCTTCCAAATGTAATATTTCCAACTTATCTTTCCAACTTATAAAAATAATTTATTACAATATTAAATTAACTTTCATAATTTATTTTATTTTTATATGTTCTGTTTATTTTTATTATCAATATTTATTTTAAATTTTAAGAACTTCATTTTTTTCACACATTATAAATATAAGACAATCTTTTAATAAATTTCTCTATTAAAATAATAAAATTTAATAATTCTTAGGAGAAGATGAAATACTCATACTTGAACTATTCCACAGATTTCAAAAACAGAAAAAACATTCTTGTTAAATACTTTGAACTGGGTAATTTGGATTCTGTATTGGTTTCTTTAATACTTTACAGAGCCCAAAAAGCAGTTATTTCAAATTCTGTTATAAATAATAATTTCTCAGTTATTGTTTTAAATTCGACACCCTATTGGTTTCTTTTTATGTTACTCAACATTAATTTCTTACATTTTATGTATATATTCTAAAATTTTTAAACTTTCATAACAATAACATTTTGCTTATTTTCTTATTATCATACAATGTAGAATATCTTTATAATGTATTATAAATGACAATGACTCTAAGTATTTTTGATGATGGATATAAATTAAAAGTACTAAAGCTTATGTATTTATTTCTTATGTTGCTATATAAAGTTTATTAATTAAAGAAAATGTTTTCCATTTAATAGATAACATTTTTTATATATGAATTATTAAAAAATTGTGCTATATTAGAAAATTAAGTAAATATATTATCTGCTAATTAGCAAAGGAACAGATAAAAATACCTATGATAGTGACCAATGATCTACTGGATTATGTTGGGCTAATATATGACTACTATTTAATATTTAAATCTTAAGTAATATTGCCTAGAGGTAGGCGTTGGCCTTAATTGAAAATCAGGTTATTGGATATGTATAACCATATTGGAGTAAAGCTTTAGACAACTGAATGCAACGGAGGGCATATTATGTGGATGCTTAATTAATTCATCACCGGTTGGCCCCGTGAGTAACCAGAATGGTTATATCTACATTATTAATAGTTCTGGAGGCAAAGATTAGATGAAGATTGAGTAGCATAACTGGCAATGCATCTGCATAATATATGGTAATGGTGGATTTTAATCCTGCTCTGAGCCAATTCTTTACTTTTTCTTCCAGAACTTTCTAAATTAAATATTAAATATTAATTTATCAAGAGATCTAGACAAAATTGTGTAAGATTTAATTATAAGATAGAAGCCATATTACAGCCTAATATAATCCAGCAGATTGTTTGGTCTTAATTGAAAATCAGGTTATTAGATATTTATGTTCTTATAATAGTGAATATGTAAATTATTATTACTATTATATATATATATATTTCAAACTTTTATGCTATGTAATTCCAAAAAAATGATTACTGTCCAACAACAGTTACATGACAAAATATAGAGCATGGCAAATAGAATGCAATATTTTGATGTTATGATTAAATAATGATTATTTAGAATTAATACTTATGTATTGAAAAATTTCAAATTCTTTTATTTAAACATTAATGAAATAAATAAAAAAAAAATAGTGAAAATAGAAAACAGTACTTATACATTTAAAATTTGACAGATAATTATATATTTAGATTTATTTTTAAAGTAACAATTTTGCTACATTATTTTATATAAATATGTAACGTTTTAATGAATTTTGTAATCAGTGAAAAAAAACATTATAGTTCAAACAAATATGTATAACAGAAAAAATATATTAAAAAAGAAAATGAACAAAACTTATACTTTATTGGAGCTAAAAGATGCAGTTTTCAACTCATTTTCAGAAACATAATCATAAACTCCAATAAATTAAAGATTTAAAATTTTAAATGTTAAATATAATATTGTTAATGATGTTTGAAGCAGAAAATGCAAAATTATTATGATTGAATTTTGTTAGATAGTATTTCTAAATTTTAATTTTTCAAATGAAGTGTAAGTTTAATTTTTTAAATTAACAAAATTTAATGTTTTAACTCCTGAGAATGAATTGAAGACTCGAAAGCATTATAGTTAATGTTTGAATTTTGAAAGAAGTATGAAATAATTTCATAAAATGAAAGTTTGCTAATTTATTGTTTACTTTAATAAAGTGCACTCTCACTAATCTGAACTAATTATTGAATTAACAAGGTTAATGGATATAAAATATATAGAAACTTAAATAGGACTACAGCAAACACATACACATATATATATTTAAAAAGTTTTTATATTGTATTTGGTACATATAAATTTTACAAATTTGGTGTTTTTAATAAAATGTACAGTGGTGCCTTGACTTACAAATGTCCCAACTTACAAGTTTTTCAAGATATGAGCCGTCTCTCAGCCGATTTTTTGTTTTGAGTTGAGAGCTANTAATTAAGAGTTGAACATAGATACAGCCAACTGTAATGGATCATGCTTATTCAATTGCTTAGTTGTTTTCGTGATATTTATTATGTATAAAACGAATAGAAATTAGTTAATCCTGTTTAATAAGCATGTTCATTGTTTCTCTTCTCTTAAAGATATGTAGATGAATATATTCTAAATCTCTGAAATCAGTATATCTCTGAAAGTTGATATCTTGATTTTGATTCAAAAACACTTATTGGTTTGACAATTGTGAAAGAGCAAATTGTGATATAGTTGTCATTGTCTTCATGTGAGTGAATTTTTTTTGCATTTTCAACTTGCTTTGACTTCATTTATGTGCATGGATAGTTCAACATATTGTGAATTCAAATGAAATTTGGACCCTGCTAATTCAAATATCTCAAAAGTTTTTGTACTGATGTGATATTAAAACACAAATGTATTAAAAAAAATACAGAAATAGTGCTTTGAGGTTTAAATTAATAGATTGTTTGTTATTTTAGCATTTTGAAGAGTAATAATGGAAAGGAGGAAAAATCTTTTATATTGAAATAGTTATTGGTGTTACCAATTTTTTATTAAATAAAATTAAAGAAATTATACATAGTTCATGACTATCAGTTGTCATTAATAGTCAACAAAAATTGATTAATAAAAAGCATAATAAAAAGAACTAATTATAAGTTATATATTAATTCATCTTTGTATTCAATATTATATTATATTTAATCATTTTTTATATATTTTATACAATATACAAGTCCTCACTTAATGTCATTTCATTATTATGTCATTGAGGAAAGATAAAAATACATTTGTAATTACAGTGGAACCTCGCTTAACAAACACTTCTCATAACGAGCAAAACAAATTGTAAAAAATGACTTGCTTAACAAACGATGTTTCACATAATGAATGAGAGGGGAAGTCCCGGATTGTGCACATGCTACATCAATCTATGTTTAGCACTTGTTCCACTAGCATTTTAGTGTCGCTTGTGATCAAAGTTTTTCCAAAATTGTGTTTAGACATATTACATATAAACATCGACAATCATAGCCTATTATATAATAAACACGCCAAACAATATGCCAAATTCTTGGGCTAGGTAAAGGCTATAATTAAATATTAGAAATTAAATAATTTGACTAGAGGTAGGCAGTTATGCTGCCATCTCGTAATAAATTTAATGAACAATTCCAAATTAAATTTCAATTTTTTTTTTTGCTTTTTGCAAATCGAATTCACATTCCAGGTTGGTTCATTCTGCACTTGAAGAAAAGATGATGATGATTCATGCTCCTTAACAATGTATATTGTATAACTTTCTTTGAATAAATGTTATACATAAAATATTTGAGTATTTTTTCAGCATGGAATGCATTATCGTATTTTACATGAATTTATATGGGAAAAATTGTTTTGCTTTTAATGAGTATTTCACACTAAGAGTATGATTATGGAATAAATTATGCTTGTTAAGTGGGTTCCACTGTACTTACAATTATTATTGTTAAATTTTCTTTATAAACAGTAAAATTAATTATATGAGGTGGGAAATAAATTCTGAGATTGCGAGCATGATCCAATTAGAACAAATATTAACTGAATCAGTTAGTTTACAGTAAAAATAATTTGATATTAAGAACTGAGAATCTATTGATATTAATAACCGAGGACCTGCTGTATAATATTAATACATTTGTTTTTAAGGGAAGAAAGAGTGATTATATTATATTTAATTGCCTGAAAATGAATTTTTATACTGTATATTTTTGTAAAAATTTTACTGAAAAATAAAGTGTAAAATTGGTGAATATATTTATATATTATTTATATATATATGTGAAAAATAAATTATATAAATCTGATAATAAACTCTCTATAATGCAATAAATAAATTATCTTTTAATTAAAATTATTGATTTTGTTCTCATTGTTTGAGAAATAAAATTTAACTATATTTATAAAATGAATTTTGAATGAAAATAAATATTATAAGATTTTAAATGAATTAAATAATAGTGAAGCAGTTTTTAATTACCCTTTAGCAGATATAAATCTGATTATAAAATTTATTTTCTTGTCTTGGATAAATATTGGATAACAGATTGGATATAGACTGCAATATATAGATTATGAAAAGTAACACCAGAGAATGCTTCCATGCATAGCATGTTTGTTCAAAGGGGTGCTATGATGAGTGTGTACCAGTACTACCAGGGTGAACATTTATAAAATTAAATTTTCTGTAAAAGAAGAAGAAATATTATAAATTGAAAAATGAAATGAATGTTTATTATTGAAATATTTAAACCTTATTTGAGAACATTTACTTAAAAAAAAATATTTTATTAGTACTGTGATTCTTCCCATTCAGGAATTAAAAATTAAATTATTTCTTTGTTGCTTTGAAACTGTGTTGTACTGAATTTTTGAGAGTGTTAAACACAAGATCGTGTTATTAATCAATAACGTGGCTTCTTTTCCATCTTTATTTAATTAATACAGTATTTCTACACGTTTCGGGCTTTTGGCCCATCATCAGTCAACTAAAACAAGAAATAATGTATACAGCATTTAAATATTATATTTTACAAGTAAATTGCACAAAAAATATAAGATACACGTATGTAACTTAAACGTACCATTAACCACGATATGGCACTTGTACACTATAAGTTTGCACATCACAAACCCATAGAGTAGCTATATGTTCTTTTACTCTTGTTTTCAATTTACGTTTTGAAAACAAGAGTAAAAGAACATATAGCAGATATGAAATATCATTGAATGCAATCCATTTTTCATGATCATTGTCTCATAAATAATTGTAATATTGACAAAGATAACACAAAAATTTTATACAAGGAAAGAAATACATATAACAGAAAATTCAAAGAAAGTGTAGCCATAATCAATTCAAAAAAATTGCATAAATAAAAATTTAAGCATAAACATAAATAAAAACTGGTTGAATGTATTATAAGAAATTTAATTTTAATTTATCTCTGATGCAATTTTTATAAAAAATTAAATAAAAAAAACTCCACCAGAGGGCTTTGATCGTTTTAGCTGCTTTATAGCTACTCTCTGTGATTTTGTAAATTTTGATCATTGCAAACAGTCAGAACCACTACCTGATAGTGCTAAGTCCAAGTTCAACCAAAAAGTGGAACAAACTATAATAGAGAATTTCGTACAAAAATTTTATGAAAGGCTCCCAAGTTTGTAAATGTACCAAAAAAAGTATGTGAATGAACTTAGCAATGTACATTCATCGTCTCTGATAGGAGAAAGGAATATAATTAACAGTAAGACTTCATTTTGTTAATACCCATAGTTTTGTGTATTTTTTATATATGTGAAGGTCCGAAACCCTTTCTCTGTTTTAGATCAGTATAAATCTAGGAATTTTCCTAGTAAAAGAGAAAAGGGGGACTTCTGCGGTCAATGACCGAGACGCTCTCCTCGAATAAGAAAAAAAAGGAGAATGTTAAAATATCAATAAGAGAAATCATCTCTATTTGTTTAACGATTATTCTATAGACGTTAGTATCAACAAGAAGGGAATAAGAGATATTTCTTATCACCTCTTGGTTGCACGTAACACGTGGTTACGGCAATAAATCGCCTTGTTCATAGTCAAACACGACGTTTGATATAAACAATAACTAAATAGTTGACCAGGTTAAAGAAATTATTGTCAAATGATTGTTAATTTATGGATGAGAGCCATCAAACCTATAGAAATTTATATCATAAAATCATATCATTTTGACACCAATAACAATAAATTAAACAAACTTCGCTGAGTCATTTGTCCGAACTAGCTAGATCCAAATATCAACACACTAGCAGGTGTGCGGATAAATCATGAATAACGTCATAGTTCTCACCCCCTCGAAATCAGTATAAAGAGGGCTCCCGGCCAGTATCGGGGTGGCCTCCAACTTAGAAGGAAATAACGGATTGACGATCCTCATCGCTGACCGCTAAAGACGGACAACACGGTTAGATTCTACGAGCTACAACTTTAGTAAGTAGAACTTTCTCCCTTCTCTCAGGTGGACTAGGGCTAATTCCTAAATAGATTTTAAGAAGGATCAAAGAATATCCTTTATCGTAAATATGCGAGATGTAGCCGGAAAACCGCCTATTGTAACCTCGGTTAGAGATTAGTAGTATTTTTAATTATTGTAACCCTTTCAAATATATCATTAGTTAATTAAAAATATATACATATGTTATCCTAAATATGTGTGTTTACTCGTACTCGGTCAACACCTTATCGACTTATCCGCGACCTCCCACTCGATTTTCGCCCTCCTAAATTGCCATCCACTGACCCTGTGAGCGGGACTCACCGCCCCGTTGTCGGAAAACGGTTTAAGCTTTGATGCTAAAACCCCGATTCTCACATATATCGCTTTACCATTTTAACTAGATGTACCGGAATTTTATAATATCCGTGTAACCACCTCATTCTTCGGGTTTGTGATGTGCAAACCTATAGTGTACAAGTGTCATATCGTGGTTAATGGTATGTTTAAGTTACATATGTGTATCTTATATTGTTTGTGCAATTTACTTGTAAAATATAATTTTTAAATGCTGTATACATTATTTCTTGTTTTAGTTGACTGATGAGGGGCCAAAAGCTCGAAATGTGTAGAAATACCGTATTAATTAAATAAAGATGGGAAAGAAGTCACGTGATTGATTAATAACATGATCTTGTGTTTAACACTCTCATTAAATTATTTTATTATAAACACATAAAAGTGTTTTATATTATTAAAGAATTTTGTATGAAAATATTTGTTAATTTATAGTTTAAATTATTGAAATTGAAAATATATAACTGAAAATTCTAATACTAGAATTTTTTACTTTTTATTAGGAAATATGTATTGGATTGATCCTTCTTATGATGTAATAGAAGTTGCACATTTGAATGGAAGTAATAGATTTGTTGTTATTTCTGGGAACATGGATAAACCAAAAGCAATAGTAGTACATCCATTCCAAGGGTAAATAGAAGTTATTTATTTATTTGTAAAAGTAATATTATTTCTTTAATACTACATTACATTTATTATAAAGTTTGATGAAATTTATGTAAAATTATGATTGTTTTATGTTTTTTTTAGTATNTATTTGAGAACATTTACTTAAAAAAAAATATTTTATTAGTACTGTGATTCTTCCCATTCAGGAATTAAAAATTAAATTATTTCTTTGTTGCTTTGAAACTGTGTTGTACTGAATTTTTGAGAGTGTTAAACACAAGATCGTGTTATTAATCAATAACGTGGCTTCTTTTCCATCTTTATTTAATTAATACAGTATTTCTACACGTTTCGGGCTTTTGGCCCATCATCAGTCAACTAAAACAAGAAATAATGTATACAGCATTTAAATATTATATTTTACAAGTAAATTGCACAAAAAATATAAGATACACGTATGTAACTTAAACGTACCATTAACCACGATATGGCACTTGTACACTATAAGTTTGCACATCACAAACCCATAGAGTAGCTATATGTTCTTTTACTCTTGTTTTCGATTTACGTTTTGAAAACAAGAGTAAAAGAACATATAGCAGATATGAAATATCATTGAATGCAATCCATTTTTCATGATCATTGTCTCATAAATAATTGTAATATTGACAAAGATAACACAAAAATTTTATACAAGGAAAGAAATACATATAACAGAAAATTCAAAGAAAGTGTAGCCATAATCAATTCAAAAAAATTGCATAAATAAAAATTTAAGCATAAACATAAATAAAAACTGGTTGAATGTATTATAAGAAATTTAATTTTAATTTATCTCTGATGCAATTTTTATAAAAAATTAAATAAAAAAAACTCCACCAGAGGGCTTTGATCGTTTTAGCTGCTTTATAGCTACTCTCTGTGATTTTGTAAATTTTGATCATTGCAAACAGTCAGAACCACTACCTGATAGTGCTAAGTCCAAGTTCAACCAAAAAGTGGAACAAACTATAATAGAGAATTTCGTACAAAAATTTTATGAAAGGCTCCCAAGTTTGTAAATGTACCAAAAAAAGTATGTGAATGAACTTAGCAATGTACATTCATCGTCTCTGATAGGAGAAAGGAATATAATTAACAGTAAGACTTCATTTTGTTAATACCCATAGTTTTGTGTATTTTTTATATATGTGAAGGTCCGAAACCCTTTCTCTGTTTTAGATCAGTATAAATCTAGGAATTTTCCTAGTAAAAGAGAAAAGGGGGACTTCTGCGGTCAATGACCGAGACGCTCTCCTCGAATAAGAAAAAAAAGGAGAATGTTAAAATATCAATAAGAGAAATCATCTCTATTTGTTTAACGATTATTCTATAGACGTTAGTATCAACAAGAAGGGAATAAGAGATATTTCTTATCACCTCTTGGTTGCACGTAACACGTGGTTACGGCAATAAATCGCCTTGTTCATAGTCAAACACGACGTTTGATATAAACAATTCCTAAATAGTTGACCAGGTTAAAGAAATTATTGTCAAATGATTGTTAATTTATGGATGAGAGCCATCAAACCTATAGAAATTTATATCATAAAATCATATCATTTTGACACCAATAACAATAAATTAAACAAACTTCGCTGAGNTACTCAAAACATTGAAAAAAGAAAAATGTATAATTTAATAATTTTCAGACTAAGTGGAAAAAGTTTTTATTTTAATTTTTTATTTTATTGAACCTTGCATGTTTCATGCAAATTTAAAAGAATATTTTCTTACTATGACACTTTATTAAGAACATTAAAAAAATATTAAAATTATTAAAAATCAAATTGGTTTTTAATTGATAATTAATTGATTTTTATTTCTTGATATTCTTGTTTTTGAATCAGTTATTTTTTTTTTATTTCTGTTCCAATCACAAGCTCTCTTGTTTTGTTCTTTCTTCCTCTAGATTTTTCTCTTTTCTTACTCTTATCCTTCCTTCTCAGTTTGAATCAAATTATTCTTTTGATTTTTAGTTTTTAACTTACACAATTTTTTTATTTTGCATTTTTAATTATTATTATTATTGGATTTTTTAAATGAAGATTCAGAAATAGCAGTATTGTGCATGCTTAAGGGCCATTAATTTTAATTTATATGCTTCATTTTTCAAAGTAATATTTATATGGTTCTATTATGAGGAGAATTGAGATAGAATTAAGAGATAATTGAATTTTAATATAGTGTTTAAAAGAACTAAGGATAGGTTGAAGAAATTTTGAGATACTTATTAGGAAAAATTTCAGAGTTAGAAATGGAAAAGGGACTAATTGTTATTAGAACAGATGGAAAGTTAATAACAGAATCTGATATATTTTAGGCAATGGAATGATGATAATACAACAGAAGAAATAATTTAAAGTTTTATATAACATAAATAAATACTTAACTTGCCATTTAAAAGAACATTTATTTTTTATAAATAAAAGCATTTCAAGGATATTATTTTCTAAGCAGGAATTTTTATTTGAATAATTAATAGAGCTGTGTATAAGAATTTGTATAAAAAATATATATGATCTGTATTAACGTCATAAAAACACCTAAACAGATAATAAAAATATTTTTTACACTCCATGTCCAATCACCAGGAACAAACTAATCTCCACAGTAGAGATGACCATTCTTTAGAGGCTATGCCTCTGCCAAATTATGTAAAACAGTCTAAAATGTCTACAGGTGACAGAGGTGTAGCCTCTAAAGGAAAGTTATCTCTGCTGTATAGTTTGCTCCTGGTGATTGGACATGGAGAGTAAAAGAATATATTTTTATTATCTGTTTATGCATTTTTACAATGTTAATACTGTAATTCCGCCAGCCCTGTTTTACAAAGAAATATATATGACCTGTTTGATAAGATAATTTTTACCTTTTTCCACATTTAAAATAATCCATAATAAAATAAAATATTCAATAATAAAACAATGATGATAAATTACAATAAAGTCTCTATAGTCTATTTCTTTCCAATCGAAAATGTCCAGTAATCTGACATTCTGCAGGCAACACAGAAAATTTTTGTGTTACTTCTTGTTGATTTATGAGAGAGAGAGAAGCTGATGTACATACATGTATGATATCAGTCACTAATTGTTTATTGCAAGTGTGATCAGCAAAACAGTCACAATAGTGATTAATATGATAAACTTACCTATGAACCAATTGCAGTTTTTTATTGTACAGTATATATATACACAATCCAAAAATACAGTAATCTGACACCCATTGGTCTGATATATGTTGGATTACAGAAACTCTACTGGAGTAGTTAATCTAACCGATTTGTCATTTCATACAAAAATATTTATATATATTTATAGAACGTGACATATTGATTTTGCAACTTGAATAGATAAAGTATATATGAATGTATGCATTTACAGACAAATATTATAAGTATCTGTATTTCATATCCATAAATCAATTGACAAGTAACTGATTATTAAATTAACTGATTATTAATTAATAGTAACTGAGTTTTTTTCTTTAAAGTAATGTCACAACATTATTTTAGAATAAGTAGAAAGCACAAAATTTGTATATTGTTTATTTTTTCATTGTATAATTCTCAATTTATAATATTGAGAACTATAATAATAAAATATCTCAATATAATAATTCTAAATTTTTTAAAAATATTTTTATTTTTAAATAGATTTCTTTTCTGGAGTGATTGGGGAATTTCACCAAAAATTGAAAGAGCCAGATTAGATGGCTCTGATCGAAAAGCAATAATTTCATCATCCATTCAAATGGTTAATGACCTGGCAATAGATTATGATTTGGATAAATTATATTGGTGTGATACACAAATGAATGTCATTGAACAATCTGATTTGGATGGAACTCACAGAAAAGTTGTGATAAAAAGTGCTTCGTTGACAAGTCCACTTTCTTTGACAGTTTATGGAGAATACATGTATTGGATTGATACGTAAGTAAATGATATACTATTTGTAATTTAAAATAAATTGCATGGATATTATTACTTATTTTATGAGGCTTTAATGATATTGCTCATTATCAATATTTCAATATTTACAAATATATGCTCCCTGTTAAGGGAGAATTANTACGGTATATAGTTAATCAGGATATGTAGTCCCTAAACTTTCCATATCTGGTCTGGCATTTTAAAAGTGTCTTGCCCCTGTACATCATACTTCTGTTAGCAATTGATTCATGCTGGTTATCTATCTAATTCCATACTTGAGAAAAGTTGAATTGAAATCAAGTAACTTGGGATGCAATTTTTAAATTGCAGCCCAATAAAGAATAATTTATGGTAAGACAAAAGAAAATGTTGCAATTTAAAATAATATAGAAAAGTTTATAAAAAAAACACTTTGATTTAAGAACTGTCTGCTTATTTTTAATCATTCAACAGATGATGTAGTATTCTATGACTTGTCATCTCATAGGGCTTAAACTATTTAACTTTTTTGAGACTCAAAATTTTTCTGATAATGCATTTAACATTCCTTTTAAATGTACTCTTTCATTTTTGTGTAAGAAAACTGTTTCCACTCAAACATTTTGTCAGAGTTGAGATTAATTTATTTCTATTACATTAGATACTAGCTGAAACAACAAAAATAATGGGAGAAAATATAATTTGTCAATTTTAAGTTAGGTTGGAAATATTGGAACATTGGAAATAATTTTTATTTTCTTGAACATATTGTAAGTGAAGTGAAACTTAAAAATTATTTATAAATTCAATTGTTGCTATAATCTGTCAAAAATAATGGGAGAAGAAATGAGAAAATTGATTTTCACTTAAAATTATACAAGCTTTATTAAACTATAAAATTCATTTTATTACAATATTTTTTCATAAAAATGTGTTGTCTCTTAACAATTTGCTCTGTTGTTCTAAATCTGAAATATATGCTTTTAAGATTACATTGTGGCAACAGAAAGAACTTGTCTTATCCAATTTTTTCAATATTTGAAATTAAGGTAGACAGGTTCAACTGTATATTTAAATGTGTTTATCTCAAAAACCCTTTTATCTTGAAATCATTTATCAAATTGTAGCGAATGATCCAGATTTTGAAAGGAGCGCAAAAGCAAAATGAGGCATTTTGGATGTGATCTTCTGCTACTGACATTTGCTTAAGGAAAGAAAAAAGCGACAAATGAAACTTCACGACTTTATCGCAAAAAACAAGAATTTCAGAAAAGCCAGGACCTTCCTCACAAAAAATGAACTTTGCATTTCTGTGTGCATATGTTTGTGTTATTTAACATATATTATTATACAAATTAATATAAAAATAACTTAAAATTAAAGTAAAATTTGTTTATTTTTGGTCACATGTTCCGCTATCCCCATTTACTCTATGTTAAAATGACCTCGTTTAACGCTGATTCGTTTAGCATTTTGTTGACTAGGAATGCATCCCCTCATTAAGTGGGGTCTTACTATATATAGTTGCAATTAACGCTGCTTTTCTCTGATTGGCTATGAGTTTGGCTTGCATCTTATTGGTTGAAGAAAGACAAACATCAGAAACTATTGACAAACTTTTTCTGTTAAGGTATGTCAAAAATATTTTATTTATACTTAATACAGATGTGTACTGTACAGTACTTGCTATTGTATTAATAAAATATCATACCTCCAATTAAACCTATTACTGTTTACTATCTGTATATCTCAAATTTTTTTCTCATTTTTGTGAGATTTGAGATATGTTCAACTGTACACTATTCAGCAAAATTGGTATATTCAAATAACTTGTAATAAAAAATACTTATCACACCATAATACACCACAGATTTATTTAGTGAATTTTGTTAATCTGTATTCAAGATATAATTTTTGAGTTTCAATTCACTTATATCCAAGAAAATGTTATGGCTGAGCTTAAAATTAACTAAAGTATACTGTAGAATGAAATACACTGTGTTAAGATTTATCAAATGATAAAAATCATTGTTTTAGCTCATCATTAAGTTTTCCTTTAAAAAATTATTATTATTTACTAAAGACAATGACAAAAAAAAGCTTAAAATAATTTATTTTAATTTGTGGGACATGCATTTCTACAGCAACTGTTCAGTTGCAGTTGAAATGCCTGTTTCACAAATTGAATTGAAATTTTTCTTTGAATAATTTGTTAAATGTTAACAGTTTACAAGAAGATGCAATTGTACAAACATGAATAATAAACAGTTCCTCTTTATACTGGAAAAGGGAGCATTTTTTGTGTTGTTTATATTTGAAGAATATTTCCCAGCACTTAAAGACATACAAGTAGATGATATGTATTTAGATAAAAAGAAAAAATCAATTTATAATAAACTTATTTTCTCAAAGCTTTTAGATAGCTGTTCTTACATACCTAACCCAAATGTATGCATTCTTAACCTGAAATNAACGTTAGGGTGGTGGGTGAGGAAACCTTCGTCCTAACCAAACATAAGCCCCAAACAAAAATATAATAAAGCAAAGTAAAAGTAAACTAAAAATAAAGCACGGACTTGGTTCCTTACAGTACTAATCACTAAACATATACAGATAGGCATTTGCTTCATCTATCTACATTTTTCATTTAAGGAAAATTAGCTATTTAGATTAGCTAATAGATTAATTTGATAACAAAACTTCCATTCCCTGTTCTCCAACCAAGATGTGCAATTTTTAATTTTTGGAATGGATATTCTCTTACAAGCATTCCAATGCATGGAAACCTGATGATGACTGTTAAAAATGGAAGAAAATGTTAGTTTTGAAGAAAATTATTGCTGGTTTTAGGTAATTACTTATTTGTTTATTGAATTCTACACCAGTAATATTGTGGTGATTGTACATCCATGTCAAGGAACCATTAGAAAGCTTATGACTTTCTGATGTATGTAAGCTAAAAGTTAGACCTTTCACTCCTTCCTGCTGATTTAATCTTCCCTACAAACTCCCGAACCTTTTACCCATCTGGAACAAATTCTGCAGTTACTCTCTGGTACTCTAAGGGAAACATGGGCTACCATAAAACTTGGACCCATCGTGTCTCCTCTCCAATTTCACCACCTACTCCCAAACTCCTAAATCTTTTGAGTAATCTGGATAAATTTTGCATAGTAGTCTCTACAATCCTCCAAAAAATATACTCTACTTTAAAACTCACACCTTCACTCCCTCCCCTGGTTTCATCCTCCACAAATTGCCAAACTCTTTGAACTGCATCAAATTCTGCATAGTTACTCTTTGCCATCCTGCATGAAACATATGCTACCCTACAATTAGGACAACTCAACCCCCTCCCTGAATTACCAGGCAATGCTGGGTATTCTTTGCTAATTAGATATAAAGTAATTATTTATAATATTCCAGCTAAAACCTTTAGTTTCTACAATAATATCCTATCTCTCTAAAAAATTCTATCCTTTAAATTTTTTCACTACTATGATCAATTCAGATTTATCTTGTAGGCAAGACAATGTTGAATTGATCTTGTTTCTCATAAACTTTAGGCTGAAAGTTTCCAATTTGATTAAAAACAATATTGGGGAATGGTCAATTTGCTATTTACGTCCACTTTCACAATCATGATCAAGATATTTTCAAAGCAATTTGTCAAAAATAAAACATGATAACACCAAGCATTGTGCAATTTGACAAAAATATGGATCATTTCTAAGTGGCTTCCTATAATATAGATAGATATCTTAGATGATTACATAATCTATAAATCGATTATGTAAAGGAAAAAATTGTACTTAGAGTGCAGGTTGTTAATTCTCATAATGGCCTTGGTAAAAGTGATTCTTTTGGATAAAATGTAAAGATACAGGAAACTGATATATTTACATGACCAAAATGTTTTGCAGTATAAATTTTTAAGAAAAAATTAATATTAAATTTTATTAAAGTAAATATACATATGATAAAATTTAAGCAATCTGTTGTTAAGATAAAAGAAATTTATACATTTGTAATCATTGTATACAATTTAGATGTAAAGCAAATTATATTATGATGCTGCTGGGTGTCTGCATGGTGGCTGTCAAATGTGACAACTATTCTTGTCAGGAACAATGATTTGATATGTTTAACTTTATAACATTTGTCAATTATGGAAATTGGAATTGTTGTAATGCATTATCTAGTTATTTATTTTTCGGAGTCTGAGGAAGGCCTACAGCTAAAATGCAAAATGATATAAATGCAAAAAATGAAGCTATGCAAACTCTGATTTGAAATCTTTTGCCAATGATACACTTTTATATAATCATCGCTAAACCCGATGTAATATAGCTAATCACCAAACATATGCCGTAAATCCATCGGGCTAGTTTTAAGGCTAATTACTAAATAAATTACTTAATTAATTTGGCACTAGAGGTAAGCGTTAGGCGCCATCTCTTATTAATATTAATAATTATAAATAAATTAATTAATTTAAATAATTTANACTTAAAGACATACAAGTAGATGATATGTATTTAGATAAAAAGAAAAAATCAATTTATAATAAACTTATTTTCTCAAAGCTTTTAGATAGCTGTTCTTACATACCTAACCCAAATGTATGCATTCTTAACCTGAAATGAAACACATAACAGTGATATTTACTCTAGAATGGTGATACCCTGTAGTATTTCAACTATATATATAATATTTCCAATAGATAATATAGTTTTTTATATATCATACTTCTGATAGGCAACAAATGGCTTCTATTGTGAGAAGATTTAGCCAAAACTGAAAACTGATATATATATATATATATTGTTTGTTTGAGTGAATCTTTAGTTTAAACAAATACAAAATTCATTCAGTATAGCAGATAAGTCATTTAATTTATTAAGTAAAATGTATACAATATTGTTTTGTTTTCATAGAATGCAAGGATCTATATTGAGAATGAATAAAAGTGATACCAATAGTACAATTGTCATGAGGAAGAATCTTGGTGATTCCTTAAAAGATATACAAATATTTCATAAAAGAAAAATGAAAGGTAACAAATGTAATTTTAAATTAAGACTTTATATATTTTTTAAACAAACAAGTTATAAAAAATATCAAGTTATTTTTTATATATTTTAGTTATTATTTATTTTATTGTATTGTATTTTATTTTTTTAAATTGTTTAAAAAGAGCATTTTTTAATACTTTTCAAAAATTGTATTTCAAAGATTAAATAGCTCTAGAATGTTCTTTTCTAGAAAGACTAACATTAATATCATCTATAAAGTTAAAAAAAAAGTTTATCAGCAACAGAAATCATAAAGACATGAAAAATACTTTAGGGGACTTGCTTTTTTAATTTTAACTGTTTCCAATTAAACTACTAAATTCAAATGTGGTCATGAAAGCCTGGAAGACAACCCTTGCAGTGGACATCCAATAGGTGCATTAACATCAGAAATCATAAACAAATTCCATGATATGTTTTTGCAAAATTCATGACTAAACATATCTGACATTGCTAAAGTTGTAAACATTTCAGGTGAATTGGCATTGCATATGAGAAAACTAGCCACAAGATAGGTGCCATGTTTGTTGACAATTTAACAAAAATGCATTCTTGCTCAAATTTCTCAAGAATATCTTGATCATTTCAGAAAAATGCAGATTTTGTGCACAGATTTGTTACTACAAATGTGATTTGGGCTTATCACTAATAACCAGAAACAAAGGAGAAGTCAAAACAATGGACAAAACTTGGATGTTCTGCACCAAAGAGGGCAGTTCCATCTTCTGGAAAAATCATGACTGGTTTTCTGGGATGAAAAAGGAATTATTCTATAGTTTACTTTCAAAGAGTAAAACAATAATGGGAGAATATTATGTTAACCTTTTAGACCAATTAGACAAAAAAATTGGAGAAAAGAGACCAGAATTAGCAAAAAAAAAATTATCTTTCATCAAGACAATGCACCTGCTCACAGAAGTGATTTTGCAATCAGAAAAATCAAGAAATTGAAGTACAGTTTGCTGCCAAATGCATACTGAGACCAGCCACTTGCATTAATGACATTATCAATATTAGTAGCATTTCCATGTTCCAATTCTTTGTGATAATAACAAGGTCTTACATATTATTTAGTAACACTTGAAGTAAAGAACATATGGTATTTATTGACTGAGCATTTTGCAACAAATAAAGTTAAATGATGTAAATTGGAATTAGTCATCAAAGTGGCTATTGTAGAGCACAACTGAATTGTCTAGATGAAAATTATAAAAAATAAATAAAAGTTTTTAAAATATTCAAAAATCCCATAAGTCGCCTTAATTTTTGTTGTCAAAGTATAAGCCTGAAACATCAAAAATAAAATAGTAACATTAATTCACCCAGACAACAGAGAACCAAAATGCATGGTCAGATGGTCATTATGTTAACTAATACTAAAATGTATATCAAATAAAATAAACTCAAAAATATTAAGTAATTTATTTAGTAATTAGCCTTAAAACTAGCCCGATGGATTTACGGCATATGTTTGGTGATTAGATACACTTTTATTTGGTGTTTATTTAGAACAAGACCGGATATGGAAACTATAGGGACAGGAGGCCCCTATTAACTATATACAAACTTTTGATGCAAACTGGAAGTCACGTTATTTCAATTCAATAATTTTCCCATAAGGTGTTAAATGACTGGCATGACTATTATTAAAAGTATGATATTACTATATGATTTAATGTATCCTCCAGTGCTAAACAATATGATAGCATTCTCTGGAATTTGCCTTTTCAGATATAATCAAATATCAGCATAAAATTTTTTCTAAGTGATGTATCTTTAAGTTTCTAAACTCGAGATTTTAATTCTTAAATTTTTAGATTTTTTTATTATCTTGAGGCATAGAATTTATAGATTTAACAATAAATTAAGCATGAAAAAATAAACTATACCTTATGACCATCAATACATTCAGGACATCTTTGCTTGCATGCTCCCATACAGATATTACAAGTTCCAACAGAAGCTGTATGAGGAACTTCAGTTGTTTGTACTGAATCGCTAAATTCCTTTTTTGGTTTCAATGGTATATCCCAAGGACCAGGTGCAATTCCATTCATAGGTGTATCTAATATTTCACCTGTAAAATTTTTCACAATTTACATTAGCTCAAAAAAATTCATCTATGATTTATGAAATAAAAATTTTTCTATTCAAAATTATTCATTGTGATACTTATTATCATAAGTAAAAGTGTAAAGATACAGGAGACAATATTAATTACAAATTAACTGTACACCATAACAATTATCTTATTAATTAAATATACAGTATAAGAACATATTACAATATCTCAACAATTACAATGTAAGTTTAGAACAAGATTAGCAACTAAAGTAATATTTAATCTACAGAAAAAAATATTTGCAGACTGTTAAAAATTACTTTTTAAGATTCATATGCATTTATCTGATCTAAACAGGTTAAATTTATATGATATAGGATTGACTTCCACCTATTTCTATATTTAAAAGTATTAACAAAGTCTTATATTTAGGTCTTAACAAAAGAATGATTTGACAGCAATGGAAAAATGATGGCAGGTGTGTATAGTTCAGTTAAGAATCTGGTGCAAACTACTCCAATAAAATACAAAATTACCTCTGAAATGAGACATCTTGATGTTGAAAAGTTGATAAATTTCTAATGATAGAAAACATTTTAGACGTTCTTTTAAGAATACTTTGTAGTCAATGAAAACATATTTCCTTGCAGAAATTATGTAAACTAATTTTAAAGTTATTAAAATTGCTTTATCTTTATCTATTTTAAGAAAACTATATGAATAAATTCTATATTTAGTAACAAGTAGTTTCAATAACATCCAGATATCTGTGAACAAAATAAAGTGTGGCCAAAAAGTTGCTTGCCAAATGGGAGTAATAACTTGTATAGTGCAAATGAGTCAGTAGATGTGTACAGTATATGTAGATTGTGACTTCCTTTAGAAAGTTATGTTCAGTGATGAGTCTATCTTTTTCTTGGATGGCCATGCTCATACACAAAATGTATGGTACTAGTCTCAAGAAAACCTCATTGGATGCACCAGTCCAACAATCTTGGTGCTCCAAGGATTATAGTATGGGCTGGTACAGAATTGTTTACAGTTCTTCACAACATTCCACAAGCAACTCTTGCAATGGTAACATGGGTATATGACAACCGAGTGATTCACAATGGGTGATAGTTAACTGGGCATCAGAAACTTAAAAAGTTTTGCATGCAAAGCAAGCATATCATTTGGCAGATATTATTTATTTTTATGTAAATATTTATAAAATATATATAAATATAAATATGGTTAAGACTTACAAAGGATGAGTTATAAGTTACAANTATGAATAATAATTTTTTTGTCTTTTATTATTTTATGAAAAATGTTTCATTATGAAAAACTATACTTTAGCTACATATACTTGTGCTTTTGATTTACACATACAGTAATACCTCGACTTACGCTACCCCGACTTACGCGAACTCGGAGTTACGCGATTTTCAAATCTCGTCGATTCGTCTTTTGTTTGAGCACCACGTAACTCTCGATTACTCACTCCCCCCACACTATTGTTCAGCTTGCATGTTCGGACGTGTCGCGCGGAATCGTCACATAGCTACAATTTATTTTGTGTTATTTATTTCTGTGTTTGTTATATCTACGGAGACTTGAGAGACTCTATGTGGTGATTTCTTGTAACCGTGAACGAATCAAAAGACGAGATAAGATTAACGAGAACATTTATTAGCTTACATACGTCTGACTTGGATTTTACACAAATTGCAAAATTATACCACGACTTACACGAATTAGACTTACGCGGTTATCGCTCGGTCCCACCTATCCTGTAAGTTCGGGGTATTACTGTATTTCAAAAAGCTTACTACATATTATTTTGGTACATAATGGTTCTCATTATGTACCAAAATAATATGTAGTAAGCTTTTTGCCATTGATGTGATGTGAAAATTTCACAAGATCAGCAATTTTTCATTTCATTTGAACCTTTATATTTTCTCAGTCATGTGACACTTACAGCAATACTTTCACATCAGCATCATCAATTACCTTTTATAATATTGAGTCTGTGATATATCGATATTGCAATGCAAAAGCTATTTCATGTCAGCTAGTTACAAGAATCTAGTGTACACAAATTTAAGATATTTTAATCTTAACTAGCTCTCTGAGAAAGTTCTTTCACAAGTTTCCATGATAAACTTTTAAGATGAAATAAAACTGAATTACATCTGTATTATGAATATTTTTTTGTAATTTATTCTCAAATAAATAGAACACTTTCCTCCACTTGTTGAGACTCAGATTTGACTTGTTTCAATTTGTATATCAAAAAATTTTTAATAATATAATTTTATAATAACTATTATATTAAATTATTCAAGTTTTGTTCTTGAAATTATAAAAACAATGTAGATTTTTTATCTGACTATTAGATATTAAATTTTTGCATAGTATATGCTTTTGGAACATCATAATGCAATAAAAATATTCTTACAATACTAACTCAGTGTTGGATAATGAGATGAAAATTGAAGTATCTCTGGATTATTATTTCTTTCGATGCAAATAATTACACACAAACATATACAAAGTCAAATATATTGATCATTTATGTGCAATTTTTTAAACAAAATTAAACAATACAGTAGAGCGTCGTTTATCCGAAAGCCAATCAACCGAAACGTCAGTTAACTGAAAGTGTTCCAGTCGGACTATGTCGTGCTGAATCAAATGTTTTTGATACTAGATTAACTTCCAAAATATAATTTTTTTTGTTTTTATGTTATTCAATATATTTATTTTTCTTGTATAAAATAAAGAAATAATTTTTAATGATACAATAGCCACGATTATTATTTTAAAAAGTTTATGTTAGGCTTAACATCGACAAAAATTTAACGTGAAGCAACACGCAACGGAGAAAAATTTCAACATGGGATAGGTTAATATATTTTTTTGTACATAATTAGTTATCCGAAAAATAAGTTATCCGAATAACCCCAGTCCCGAATTGATTTGGATAAACAATGCTTTACTGTATTTGAAAAAGTAGATTCTTAATTACATATGTAGAAGTGTCCAAGTGTCAGAAAAATGTGTTAATAATTAAACTCTTTTATGTTAGGCTCATCAATATTTTTCTTTACTGAGTGTTGCAAGTGACATATCAGTGATGTAGATCAATTGTCACTGATTACAAAATATAATCAGGTTTTGAACATAACATTTTGAACAAACATCATATATAATTATTTTTTTCTTACTAAATTCTGGAAATAAAATAATTTTTATTTATACTGGACAAATTAAATTTATTTGAACATTATCTATTTGAGGGGACTTTTCAGATTGTTCCAAAACTATAGCAACAAAGCTCAATTCTTTTTCAAGTGTCTTAAACAATGTTTCCATTTAGGAATGCTGAATTTTCTGTTTTGTTGACCTCATAAACAAGGAATGCCCTAAGTGACATTTATTGTATCTTGGACACTGAGACATAGTTTGATTTATATTGAGGTAGCCGGGCAGTGGTTTTGGTCGATGCTTTTGGGCGTATTATAATTAATAATTTATTCAATTTTTTGAGGTAAGATTATTGGTATTATTCATCATATATAAAAAGAAGACCTATTCTCCAGTGAGTCAGTCAGATAGTAGATTTAAGATTTTTCACCCAGACCCATTGGAGGAGACAAGAATTTTGGAGTTACTTCAAGGGGAACTGGATATTAAAGATGGAATATCATTACTAATTCATCTAAATTTAAAGCAGAATACTAAATTGGAAGGAATGATTGCTAAAATCAATAGAATTTTCACCTGAGTAGAAAATTTGGATGAAGCTATTGTTAATTTAGAAACTAGACTTGAGGATCTAGAGAAATAATTTGTATACAATATGGATAAGGTTTTGTCGGTTGAAGAAATAGACCTGCAGAATAAACTGGCTGAGTTTACATTAAGTCAGGAGCAGTTTGAGTGTTCTCTAAGGCACAACAATTTAATAGTTTCTGGACTACCTGAGTTGGAAAATGATAACTTACAGGTTAAAGATTAATATTCAAGTTTTTTAAAAATAAATCACGTCAGTTTAGAGCAGTGTCATAGATTGGGTCAACAGCAGAATGGTAGAATTAGGCTGATATATTGTAGTTTTTTGGGCTCTGGCAATAAATATAAGATTAAAAGAGTGGAATTTAAATTAAATGGGTCCAGAATATTTGTAATGGATGACCTTCTTCCTCTGACTAGAGATAGAAGAAAATAATTAATAATTTGCCAAAGAGAAAAAGGTCAATTACTTATTTAAATAATAGGAGTGCAGTGAAAGTTGATAACAAAATTTATAAATATAATATAGTTTCTAAGAAAATGGAAGAGCAAATTTCAACTTTACTGGCAGTAGATATGTCAGTTACTTGTCATCTGCATTCAACTATTTAGATAGAGGCCTTTTGTGGAGACAGCTTTTGAAGATTGGTTTGAGTTATAAATTTGTAAATTGTTTGATTCAGTTATATACTAATACAGAGGCATGTGTGTCTGGTAAAGGGAGTACCTCTGATTTTTTTTTCCCACGTTTAAAGGAGTGAAACAGGGTTGTGTATTGAGCCCAATATTGTTTAATTTATATTTAAATTTACTAGTCAGAAAATTTAGTGACTCCAAATTAGTGGGCATTGACTTTCTGTGAACAGAAGTGAAAATTTTGACATACACAGATGATGTGGTCGTTTTAGCAGATTCACCTGTAGATCTGCATAGAATAATTGATTTTTTGGGATATGCATTACAGGAGTTAAAACTTTTTGTTACTATTAATAAATCTGAAATAATGCTATTCCAAAATGGAGGAAAACATTCTAAAAATGAAAATTGGTTTATACAAGACTTTAAAATAGAAGTTGTTGATGAGTACAAGTATTTGGGTGTATTTTTCCAGTCTAATGGACGTTTTTAAAGCATTTAAAGTTAATATTGGAACAGATAAGATTATTAAGGCATGTGTATCTGGTAGATTGTTTTGCTGGAAAGATAAATTAAAATTATTTGAGTCATTTATTCAGTCAGTAGTGCTACATGGGTCCAAGATTTGGGGCTTTGACTGGGAGGAAAAGACGACAATTTACAAATTAATTTTATTAAATGTTTATATTCTTTAAAAAACGTATTCCATCGTACATTATATATTTGGAGTTCCAAAGGGTTCCTCTTTATTTTAATATAATAAAAAATAATTTAAGGTGGTTGTGCAAACAATCAGTCAGTAAACTCACCAAGTCTGCTAAATTATACTTAATTTCTCAAAGAGTAGCATGGGGAGATTGAATTGTGTCCTTATTGCAAAATTCTGGCTATTGAGATTATCCTATAATGTTGAATGAAATGAATGTCTCTGATATTTTAATGAGATTAGCAAATAATTATTTAAATACATTTAAAGATATAGCTGCTAATTATAAATATAAGTTGTATTTGGATATTTTTAATGAATGTGGCTTGGCAACCTATTTAAATGTAGANATGGGTCCAAGATTTGGGGCTTTGACTGGGAGGAAAGATAATAATTTACAAATTAATTTTATTAAACGTTTATATTCTTTAAAAAGATGGATTCCATCGTATATTATATATTTGGAGTTCCAAAGGGTCCCTCTTTATTTTAATATAATAAAAAATAATTTAAGGTGGTTGTGCAAACAATCAGTCAGTAAACTCACCAAGTCTGCTAAATTATACTTAATTTCTCAAAGAGTAGCATGGGGAGATTGAATTGTGTCCTTATTGCAAAATTCTGGCTATTGAGATTATCCTATAATGTTGAATGAAATGAATGTCTCTGATATTTTAATGAGATTAGCAAATAATTATTTAAATACATTTAAAGATATAGCTGCTAATTATAAATATAAGTTGTATTTGGATATTTTTAATGAATGTGGCTTGGCAACCTATTTAAATGTAGATAGACCATTTTGTATTGTACAGTGTTATATGTGTTATGCAATCTATTTAAAAGAATGACAGCAGAATTTTAGATTATTGTGAATTCTATTCCTCTCATGTTAATTTTGATGCTTTTCATTTAGTAACTGAATGTAAGGCTCTGACTGTCAGACAAAAGTGTTTTGGTTCACATTATTTATCGGTTCAATCATATAAGCAATTGTTACAAGACTATAATAAATATCACTGTATTTATAATTTTATTACTAAGATAAACAGCCAATGGAAACTAATTTGTTTAGTTTAAGATATTATTATTTTTATTTTTAACCACTAGGATGTGTGGATATAGTATATTAGTGGATTTTTCAGTGTTTGAGAATTGACAGTGTTTTTGGGAGTATTATAATTAATAATTTATTTAATTTTTCCAGATAATTGTTTAATTTTTCTATATAATTTTTATAGAATTTTTGTTTATGTCGACTATGCGCTGCCATTTTTGTGTGTTTTTCTTACTTTGGATATAATTATTAGTCTGTTTTTTTTTGTTATTATTGTTAATATTGTATTGTTTTTTTATTTTTTTAACAGGCTTATTATTATGCACTGTACTTTTAATAATAATGTATTTTGTACTGGAATTGATATTGATGATTGTAATGTTTTTTTTGGTTTGCAATATGCCCGTATATACAGGAACTCCCTTGTACTATTAAATAAATAAATAAAATATATTGAGGTAGTCAGAAAATGAGGTTTTACTGTATATTAGAATCAACAATCAATTCAACTTCTAAGTAGCTCTGAAAGACATTATATAGAAAGGGGAAATTTTTGAAAATTATAAGCTTTTAAGATATAAGTTTAAGTAAGAATGTCTAATAATATCAATTAAAATGTAGATTGATATACAAAATGTAAAGAAAAAGGCATTAATGTATATGTCTTTGGCAGTTTCTGGAAAAATCATAACGGCAAATGAATGTTTGTGATTCATAAAGGATCTTTTACATTTTTTAAAGAAGTTCTTAATAAGTTTAGATAAAAGAAAAGCTGTTGGATGAACTTATAATTACAATTTAAAATCAGTATATAACTTGTAATGGTGCATAATCAGTACCTACTTTCAAAATGACTTTAAAATACAGGTAACACACAGTTTATTTATAAGAAATTACAGCAACTCCATATATTTCTATTTTTATTTTTATTAAATAAATTTTTAAAATTTTACTTTTTATATTTATAAATATCCAAACATTTTCTGTAAGATTTTAAAATTAATATATATTTTTTTATTCCATTTTAGCATATGATGCATTTCTTGTTTTTTCACGAGTTTTAAAGATTGACAGCATTCATATTTTTGACGAGAAAAACTTAAATGCTCCATATCCAAGTATTTCAAATAAAGAATATATGCGAAATGTAATCGGTTTATCATTTGATTATGTAAACCAAATAATATTTTACTCCGATATTCAAAGAGGAAGCATAAATGCAGTGTTTTTTAATGGAACAAATCATACAGTGATAGTTGAAAGTAAGTACAGTACATTGTAATATAAAAATAACTTAATGTTTAATAGAACTAAGTTAAATTTATTGCAGTAGAAATACTTAAGTTCAAAATTTTAACAAAAAAGAATTTTTAAAAATTCTAATAGTGTTTTTATTTAATTTCTAATGGATTTAATCTTAATTTTATAACATTATTTTGTTCAAAAGTCTCACACTTTCAGAAATAATATCTTGTACTTCTGAGATCTGTGCACCCCAAGTTAAGAATAATTGCTTTAATGTAATCTAATTGAATTTATCAGAGTTTAAAAAAAGGAGTAATTAGCTGATTAGGTTGGAAAAATATAACAGCATGCACGTGTAAAGAATTCACATGAGAACTTTCTATGTATCTATAATTCCAGAAATAAACTCCGATTTGTATAATCTGAATATGAAAATGTTATAAAATTTATTGTTACTTGATATACTAACTGAATGATTTTTTTTTCTGTTTATATTATCATTTTTTGAGAAAATATGTTTTTAATCATTAAGTTTTTAAATAAAACTATCTACAATTATAAATGATCATGTTTTAATTATTTATGATTTTTAATCAATAAAATTAATAAAATAATGAAATATTTCAGAACAGGGATCAGTAGAAGGATTGTCATTTGAACCTCTTCATCGTGAATTATATTGGACTAGTCATAGTGATGCATCTATCAATCGCATTCGTTTAGACAATTCTTCTTCACACCCAGAAAACATAATAAAATTAAGTTCTGATGATAAGCCAAGAGGTATTGCTGTGGACAGTTGTACTTCGTAAGTAATTTCCTAATTGCTAAATTTTTTATTACAGATTATACATATAAAAATTTTATTTCTACTATTAACTACATAAATTAATGAAAGTCACAAATGAAATTTTAGTGTTAAACTTTCAGATTAAGATTTAGAATTAAGACAAATTTTGAGTAGTCAGATTTTTTTTTATTAATTATTATTAATATTTTAAGTAAAAATCTCAGTTTTTATTTACATTTATTTACATTATTTTGAAATAAGAAATAAATAAATGAATAATTTATTTAATTTACTGTAAATAATGCTAAAACACTTATCAGGAGTTCTAAATTTAATTAATTAGAACAAAATTAAATGTTTTTTGAAACCTTTTTTTACCTCTTATCTTCAGATCCATCTTTGAATTTTTCTAATTTAAATAGGCATTCAACCTTCATTCCACATCATTTTACAAATGTTCAAATTACTCAAACTTTTTGTATGAATTTAAAATGCATTTAAAAGGTTTTGTATTTTCTTAGCACAATGTTGCCATTGAGATTTTGTGTTCATAAAATATTTCTGTAAACATGTTTATTAAACATGAACTTTACAGTCTGTAACTTTACAGAATTGATACAAATCTTTAAAAAGGTCTACTGAAGGGTTTGCATCTTTTTGACTACTTTTCATATTAAAACAAGTTTAAGGCAGTCTTTCTAGTAAATTTACAAAGGTAACTATATGTTTTTCATTCACCTGTTGCATGTCCTCATATATCAATTGTAGGCATATTGTGAAGCACAAAAGAGTTTGGAAATGATTTAGGAACATTAAATCTAAATGTATTTTAAATTTATACAAAAAGTACAAGTAATTTGAACATTTGTAAAGAACTGTATAATGGCTGTAGAATGCAGATTGGAATGCCTGTTTAAATTTGGAAAATTTAATGATGGATATAAAAATGAGACACGAAAAGTCTAAAAAAAAAACGTTTTAATCCTATTGTAACTTAGGACTCCTGATAAGCGTTAACATTATTTATGGTAATTTAATGATTATGGAGTTGACGGTGACAACCATAAATAAAGATGGTGAATTTCTAATGATATATAAGAGTGATTAAAATATTTACCCTAAATTTGTTTTTCATTTCTTACAGGAGAGTATACTGGACAAATTGGAATACTCGTTATCCTAGTATTCAAAGAGCTTATTTTAGTGGTTATGATTTAGAATCTATAATTACAACAGATATCAAAATGCCAAATGCTCTTACAATTGATCATCAGTCTCAAAAAATATATTGGTCAGATGCAAAATTAGATAAAATTGAACGCTGTAATCTGGATGGAACTGACCGTCATGTAAGTAAATTTATTTTAATACGAGCAATTATTTATTGTGACATTGTCGCAATTCTGGGCTGCAATTTTTAATCATATTTTAAATTAATTTAATTTAAAATATATGCTTTTTACCTCAAATTAGTAGTGGCTTGCCCCTGTACACCATGCTTTTAACAATACACCATGTACACCATGCCTTTAACAATAAAGTAATGCCAGTCATTTTTCTAACACCTTACAGGGGAAAATTTTTTAATTGAAATAAAGTGACTTCCTGTTTACATCAGAAGTTCATATATAGTTAATCGGGGCCTCCTGCTCCTAAGGTTTCCATATCTGGTGTTATCTTTCATCTACCTAACTCTGTTCTTGAGATTAAGGAAAGATGGCTGGACAGACTGATGTACTGTACAACAGTGGGAATTTATAGGTCTACAATTTTTTCAAATTGCAGCCCAATAATTATCATTTAATTTAATTCATATTATTTTGTAATAATTGTTGTAAAACTTTTAGAATTATTCTATTATTAAATACAGTAATAATTTCATAAGTGATATAGTAAAAAAGTTAACATATTTGGTCTGTAAAGATTTTAATACTTAACTAATTTAAATCTGGCCACCAACCCCTTCAAAGTAGTCTCTGCCTGCATTTAAATCACTTCTGCTAAACCTCAAACACTATTTGAAAGTCATTACTTTGAAAATTCCAAAGTATGATTCAGGCTGGATCTCTTCAAAACACTGTTCCTTGAACTTCAGCTTTATTTTGATGAATAAAAAGATATCAAAAGGAGATAAATCCAGTAAGTGAGGAGACTGGAAAAAACTGTTATATTGTCAGCTATGTCAACTACTATGGATTGTCTGTAGTTTCTATAGAAGTCACATGTAAATTATATGTCATACAGAAGTCACATGTAAATTATATGCTTTATTTTGATGAATAAAAAGATATCAAAAGGAGATAAATCCAGTAAGTGAGGAGACTGGAAAAAACTGTTATATTGTCAGATATGTCAACTACTATGGATTGTCTGTAGTTTCTACAGAAGTCACATGTAAATTATATGAGGGGGGACCCTACCTTCAGCTAACTTTTTTTTTTTAATTGTTTTAAAAATTATAATAAATTTTAAATAAAGTTAATGACCTAAAAATATTATCAATTAAATCATAAATAATAATCAACAGCTATATTCTACCCGTCCACATAGAAACCAGTTCCTCAAATTTACAACAAATATTTTTAACCTCTTCACAGCTTATAATAGCTTAAAATTTATAATAACTTCTTAATGATAATAGTAATTAAAGTTTTAATTTACCTCCATTAAAAATGCGTTTGAAATTATTCAACTTTTTAAAAATAAAATATTATCTTTATATCGTTAATTCACATTTTAATTAGCTGTAACAGTCTTTTCATAAATAAAATAAAATTATTTATGATTTAATTCATAATATTTTTAGGTCATTAACTTTATTTAAAATTTGTTATAATTTTTAAAACAATTAAAAAAAGGAAGTTAACTGAAGGTAGGATCGAACCTAGATTGCCCGTGTGGCAAGCGAGTTTGCTTCAGACTCAGCCATTTCACTGTGCTGCCGTAGAGTAAAATCGACCAGTATATGAGCTGCGCTTAAAATTTTAGAGACCTTTTTCTCGGAATCTTCTGGCTAGCATGCTTTACAATTTTTCTGAATGGATATCCTTGAGGTATACTACTAATCTGCAAAGTTTCATCCCATACTGAATTTCCAAGACCACAAAGTCCTCTTGTAAAACATAGTAGAAGCAAGATATAGTTGATGCAGTGTTTTTGTTTACACCCTGTATATTGGGCTACAGTTTTTACTTATATATGTATCTTTATAATGTAAATAGTTTTGTAAATTTTTTTAAAAATGCTTGTGTGTTCATACTTAGATAAAGGATTTTGGAAATGAATTTCTTGTTTTCAGGTACTATTAACTGAAGATCCTCAACATCCATTTGATTTAGCTATATATGGAGATTATTTATTTTGGACTGATTGGCTTGTTCATGCTGTTTTGAGAGCCAATAAGTATACTGGAAGTGATGTCGTAATTTTACGTAAAAATATTGCAAGACCAATGGGAATAATTGCTGTTGCAAATGATACAAATGATTGTAAGTATTAATTTGTAATTTTTTGGTTACCGTACTTTCCGGCATATAAGACGACCCCCCAACTTTTACAGTTAAAATATAGAGTTTGGGATATACTCACCATATATGACGACACCTAGCATATAAGACAATCCTTGACTTTTGAGAAGATTTTCCTGGGCTAAAAAGTCGTCTTATATGTCGGAAAATATGGTACTTGGTGAATTGATAAGCACATCTATCAGTAACATATCATCTTAATAAAATTAATTTAGATTAAGATGATATATTACTTCGATATTTATTTAATTTTATTACAAAATATATGCAATATAAACTTGATTTTCAGCAATTGTTTTAGGAAAGCATTTTTATATTTTATAACTAAACATTATATAAATTTAAAAATAAAGTAATATTTTATGTTTGTTGAATGTTAATAAATTTTAATTATTAGAGAAAATATTTGAATAAGTTTATGCACATTTTAGGTACCTTGAATCCCTGTTATTCATTAAAAGGAGGGTGTGAAGATACTTGTTCTGTTGCTTATAATGGAAGTGTGAAGTGTTCTTGTTTTCCTGGAAGAATATTATTACCTGATGGAAAAAGATGTGCTGGTAAAAAATTATTTATTTCATTTTTACTTATCTATTTCATTACATTTTCAGGAAAAGTAATTTTTTCATTATATACTTTTTATGGATAAATTATAACTAATGATAATATTTCATAAAAATATCATTATTTTTAAACTTATAACAATAATAATTATAATACATAAAAATTTAATCATGTTAAAAAATTATTTTGAGATTGAATATTTATTGTTCTAATCTTAGAAATAATTACATTTTGGAAAGGTTAAAAAGTAAGAATAAATCATTTATTTGTGTAAAATTGTTTTAAATTACTTAATTCTTATCTTTCAACTGTTCAGTCTCAAAGTAATTTATGTGCAGTTTTAAAAAACTCCACATAAATAGCAATTTTAAGATATATTAAATAGAAATGTGATTATTTAATTATTACATTATTGAACAATCAATTATTTGGAATGAATTCTACACATATATTTGTCTAATTAGCCTGCTTCATCAGTTGTTTGTGAGAGGGGAAAAAAAATACATCTTATGATTCTCAAATAAAATCACAGATCAACAAATATCATCCTAAAACTTGCTAAAAACTTAACAGTTTCATATATGTATTGAGAACGCTTGCGGAATTTGCTGTTTGCGTGGCTGCCAAATAACATGCAAAAAATTGTTAAAATTTACATTATGAGTAGCTCAAAGTTGTTTGCGTAATGACACATGAAATTTCGTACATTCTTTTTTTATATGCAATTAAATGTATAAAATTTCTGATCGTATCCAGTTGAAAAACTTCTTAAGTGAATCCATTATCTAGTTGTGGACAAGGATTTTAGTTTTAATTAAGCAAGAAATTTTCTTAAATGGGCAAATTTTATACAGAAAAACTGCTTCTTATGGCAAAAAAATTGGTAATTTAGAAATTAAGCTTCTTACAAGGAAAAACTTCTAATATCAAAGTTCTACTTCACATTTTAATTAGCTGTAACAGTCTTTTCATAAATAAAATAAAATTATTTATGATTTAATTCATAATATTTTTAGGTCATTAACTTTATTTAAAATTTGTTATAATTTTTAAAACAATTAAAAAAAAAGAAAAAAAAAGTTTGCCAAAGGTAGGATCGAACCTAGATTGCCCGTGTGGCAAGCGAGTTTGCTTCAGACTCAGCCATTTCACTGTGCTGCCGTAGAGTAAAATCGACCAGTATATGAGCTGCGCTTAAAATTTTAGAGACCTTTTTCTCGGAATCTTCTGGCTAGCATGCTTTACAATTTTTCTGAATGGATATCCTTGAGGTATACTACTAATCTGCAAAGTTTCATCCCATACTGAATTTCCAAGACCACAAAGTCCTCTTGTAAAACATAGTAGAAGCAAGATATAGTTGATGCAGTGTTTTTGTTTACACCCTGTATATTGGGCTACAGTTTTTACTTATATATGTATCTTTATAATGTAAATAGTTTTGTAAATTTTTTTAAAAATGCTTGTGTGTTCATACTTAGATAAAGGATTTTGGAAATGAATTTCTTGTTTTCAGGTACTATTAACTGAAGATCCTCAACATCCATTTGATTTAGCTATATATGGAGATTATTTATTTTGGACTGATTGGCTTGTTCATGCTGTTTTGAGAGCCAATAAGTATACTGGAAGTGATGTCGTAATTTTACGTAAAAATATTGCAAGACCAATGGGAATAATTGCTGTTGCAAATGATACAAATGATTGTAAGTATTAATTTGTAATTTTTTGGTTACCGTACTTTCCGGCATATAAGACGACCCCCCAACTTTTACAGTTAAAATATAGAGTTTGGGATATACTCACCATATATGACGACACCTAGCATATAAGACAATCCTTGACTTTTGAGAAGATTTTCCTGGGCTAAAAAGTCGTCTTATATGTCGGAAAATATGGTACTTGGTGAATTGATAAGCACATCTATCAGTAACATATCATCTTAATAAAATTAATTTAGATTAAGATGATATATTACTTCGATATTTATTTAATTTTATTACAAAATATATGCAATATAAACTTGATTTTCAGCAATTGTTTTAGGAAAGCATTTTTATATTTTATAACTAAACATTATATAAATTTAAAAATAAAGTAATATTTTATGTTTGTTGAATGTTAATAAATTTTAATTATTAGAGAAAATATTTGAATAAGTTTATGCACATTTTAGGTACCTTGAATCCCTGTTATTCATTAAAAGGAGGGTGTGAAGATACTTGTTCTGTTGCTTATAATGGAAGTGTGAAGTGTTCTTGTTTTCCTGGAAGAATATTATTACCTGATGGAAAAAGATGTGCTGGTAAAAAATTATTTATTTCATTTTTACTTATCTATTTCATTACATTTTCAGGAAAAGTAATTTTTTCATTATATACTTTTTATGGATAAATTATAACTAATGATAATATTTCATAAAAATATCATTATTTTTAAACTTATAACAATAATAATTATAATACATAAAAATTTAATCATGTTAAAANTGGGGGGACCAAAAAAAAACCGGATTTTTTGTATAAAAACTTTATTTATTAACTTTTTTACAAAATTTCTTCAATGTACTCTCCATTAGATGCGATGCACTTGTGAAGTGTTTTTCTCCACTGTTCGAAGCATCTCTGGAACTCTTCAACCTTGATATCGTCCAGTGCCCTTAGCAAAGTTGTTTTTACCGCCTCCACATCATCAAAACACTTCCCTTTTAGATTTTTCTTCATTCTCAGAAACAGAAAAAAGTCGCACAGGGCTAGGTCTGGTGAATATGAAAGGTGAGGAACGACAGGCCATCTTTGAGAGGCCAAACAGTGGGTCACTTGTAAGGCTGTGTGTGCAGGGGTGTTGTTGTAATGAAGGAACCAGTAACCTGATCGCCAAAGTTCCAGACGATCAGGAAGTTTCCTTCGCACATCCTCTCATAGATGTCTTAACACTTTTTTTTACAGATTTTTTCAATGTTTTCATTGTTTTGAGATGTTGAAGGATGCCCAGAACTTTGCAGGCAGAACAAAATAACAGTAAGAGAAACACAACACTATGCTCAAACGTAAATCTACAAACTGACGCTGCTTGCACAGCTGTTTCGTGAAGATCTCTACTAACTCTATGTAATGGGAGAACTCTCTATTATGTCTACGAATTGCATCACACTCTCAGTTCGGTTTTTTTTTTTGGGTTTCCCCTCGTACATAATATCTGAATATATTTTTATTTAATGCTTAAAAACAAATACTTTAACCCAGATATAATGGTTGATTATTATTTTCTAGAATTGAGTTCTTTCATTGAGCCCTTGAGCTAGAATTCATAACTTATTAAAATTTCTCTGAATTTATGACATTTTTTACAGTATTTGAATTGTAGCCTTTATAATTGTAATTAAATTTTACAGCTCGACCTGATTGCTCTCTACATCCTCTTGTAAAAGATCCAAAACAAACATTAATTAATTGTTTATATACTACTGCATGCATTCACCCTGCTTGGAGATGTGATGGCCAAAATGATTGTTGGGATAATTCAGATGAAGAAAATTGTGGAACAAGCAAGTATTTTTTTCTAGTATTTTTATTTATTGTTAAGCTGTAAATAAAAAAATGAGTGAATTTTAAATGGAAATTATTTAAATTTATATAACTTTAAATCAGTTTATAATACTAAAACAATATTATATTCAAAAATTAATACATTTTCTTTGTGGTATGTATTTTTACCAAATGTTTTATAATTTATTAATTTATCAAATTGTATAATACAATTTGATTTATTATTATAATATTGCTAGTAAAGTAAAATTTTAAATAATTATAGCAAATAGAGAATGCAATGCAGGATTTTTTCATTGCTCTAATGGTCGCTGTGTGCCAGAATCTCGAATATGTAATGGTCAAAACAGTTGTGGTGATTATAGTGATGAAGCTAATTGCACTTGTGCAGAAGATCAGTTTCGTTGTAAGCAAGGACCTTGTATAAGCAAACAATACAGATGTGACAGAGATCCAGATTGTCCTGATTCTAGTGATGAAATGGAATGCCGTAAGAATTTTTTAAAAATATACATTAACATTTATTTTTAGTTTATCAATCATTGAAATGTATGCAATATATCAATTCATACATTAAAGATATGTAAATAGTTTTAACTTTACATGATTTATTATTATTATTATTATTTTATTTTATTTTTTTGATGTAGTCATTTAAAAACCAAGATAGAATTATATATAATTAGGAATCAAAAATACTATAGGTCAATTTGATTTGTCTGCTATATCTACCTTATAGCAGCCCTTTGTGATGTTGCATGGTAAGTTTGTGGGATGATTGGTAAGTATGGAAAGGAGTGAATCAAATGGAATTCTGGCAGATTCAGCAGGAAAATGGTTGAGGAATTGGCAGTGATCATTGCCAATGCAACTGTTGCTATAGTTGAAGATTTGTTTGAATTATTAGATGACAAACAAAATATTTTTGCCACCTGGATTTGATCCAAAGCAGTAGGCTAAGACCCAGATTTACAAAAACGTCATAGCACAACGTGTGATTAATATTCATCTTAAGTTGCAATATGACAAAATTTGATATTCACAAAACTTGTCATAACTGAAAATGTTGTAAATAGGCATCATTATATCATGACATAGAGTGGGTTGTAAGTCATGACATTTCAAGATGGTCTTGAATCTTCAAAGCTTTCTCAATCGACAAATTAAATAGTTAATAGAAAATTTATTGTTCATTTCATCTGTTGACCAAAGACATTTTGTTAACAGAATTAATCTGATACTATTGCATGTCAAGGTAAACAATGTTTAGTTTAATTGAGAAACTGAAAACTCATTTGGGAAAGAATACATATATAGAATGTTGTTTTCTTAATCATGTTAAAATTATAAACAGAACTGTTATAATGAATGATATAGAAACTTTACTTTTTTTTTTTTTTTTTTGAAATGCTTTTATAATCTCTCCATTTATGTCGAATTTCATCTATGCTTCTACATACAATACAATACATTATTCACTTCTTTGCAAGTTAGGTCTAATTTTCAATAATTACTTTTTTTTGTGAGAAGTAATAGTTTGATCTATCCTCCCTTCTATTATTATTTTTCCTTTTTTCAACTCTATCAACACCTGTATTTTGGAAGAAGTAAAATGATGTTTTCTTTTTCTCTCTTCCATTTTGTCATGAAAACTCTTGCCATTTGAAAATTTCCAGACTGTATTCCTGTTGGATGAAACAGTATACTCTTGAAATCAGATCACCAATATTTTGTAATAAATAGTAAATCCAGTTATGATTAGCTTTGTGAATTGCAGATATGCCATAAATTTGTCATATTTAACTACGTCGTGAGAATATAACATTGTAACTAATGACACTTTCATGAATCCAGGCCTAAGATTTAAACTGCCTCAACCATCTGGATGTCCAAATATAATTGCTGTCAATACTTTCATGTTGATTTTGCTAAATTTACACATGCTCTACCATGTACCGGGTCTTCAGCTGCTATTGGCAGCCTACAAGCAACTGCCACAAAAAATATAGTGTGTGGATAACTGACAACTGCACAAATCAAATGGAAATATGGCAGGTTCAGTAGATAATATAGCAGACAAATCAAGTCAATTTATATGATTATAAAAATTATATTAATTAAATTACTCTTAAGTATGTGGGGGGACCAAAAAAAAACCGGATNTCAGGTATGTCATCATTAAGCCACATGGTCCTTGGCAAGAGATTCCACAAAACTTATAAATCTCTCAGGATTTTTTTAACTTCAAATTTTTTCAAAATGTTTCAGAAACATGCTTTTTCTCTTTGATCAATAAAAGTTTATACCAATTATACATATAAACAATTTTATTGAAATCTGTAATTATTAATGATTCTGTATAGTAAAAAGATTATTCTAATAGTTAAGTGTCTCCTCCATCATGCAACTACTAAATTCAGACAAAAAGAAGGTAAAACAAATGAATATGGTAGGTTTATATATGATCAAACTTACTAAAGGAGAAGAAAACTTATTACATAGGATTGACATACAGAATGCTATGACAGTGCATTAACGAGCACCGACTACAAGCAAGGTTTTACAGTATTGATAAATTGGGGACTAGACGAGACGGTCCAGGTTTATTGAAAGAGTCTATAATTGTTAAAAGCTGGGAAGATTAGTGAATGATTTGATTTATAGAGCAGTACTGTATATATCTTTTTGCATGCAAGCTTAGAATTAGTAATGCTCATGACTCCTTTGTCTTAGACAATAGATAGACTGTTATTTTAGACACTTATGATACTACCTTTTTTATACAAAAAGTCCTTTTCAACTTTATATAGGAGCAATATTACTACATGGGAATATTTGTTGAAGGTCACATAGTGTGGGTGGCCACAACTCTACATTTGATGTTGTAATATTTTTAATTTAATTTGTTTATAATTAACTGTTATTGTCCACATAAATACAAAAAAAAATTCTTCATTATATTAAATGTTTATAATAGCAATTGTTTGAAATGCTGTACAGAATAAAATAATTAGCTAAAATTCAAGATTTTATATTTGATTACATAGTTATAACTGTAGTTATCAATTTTATTTCTTAAACTTATTAAATCTCTAATATTAAGATATTAGAATTTTATACCTGGAAGAAAGCCATTAAATAATATAAATGACAATAATTGTTTTTAATTTTATTTACGAATGTACATATAATTAGTGGGCTGTAACCACGTCTCCTATATAATGGTAGAAATTTTGCCATTTTAAAAGAGAGGAGGATGGATGTTCAGTAAGTGTGTTCGCATATCACTGCCTTGCACTAAACATAGCACTATTTATCACATGATCCCATAGTTAATTAATAAATATTTTTAAAATAAAAGTTTATCACAATAAATTTTATGCAATTTTTAAATCAGATTTTTACATCTTTTGTATTAAAAAAGTTAAAAATTATTTTAAAATAGAAAACAATGGAACTAAGTTTTTTAATTACTTACTGCATTTTTAAAGAATACAAAAAAACTTGAAATTTAAGCTTAATTATGTTTTNTATTGTCCACATAAATACAAAAAAAAATTCTTCATTATATTAAATGTTTATAATAGCAATTGTTTGAAATGCTGTACAGAATAAAATAATTAGCTAAAATTCAAGATTTTATATTTGATTACATAGTTATAACTGTAGTTATCAATTTTATTTCTTAAACTTATTAAATCTCTAATATTAAGATATTAGAATTTTATACCTGGAAGAAAGCCATTAAATAATATAAATGACAATAATTGTTTTTAATTTTATTTACGAATGTACATATAATTAGTGGGCTGTAACCACGTCTCCTATATAATGGTAGAAATTTTGCCATTTTAAAAGAGAGGAGGATGGATGTTAAGTAAGTGTGTTCGCATATCACTGCCTTGCACTAAACATAGCACTATTGACACAAAGCATGCCATTTTCAAATTACACACAAATTATTTTCAGTATTTTGCATTAAAACCTCGCGACTCCAAGATTTCGCTAAGCGACCTCAAATCGGGTCACAACCCATAGTTTAAGAAGCCCTGTGCTATAGGATAATAATTCAAAACACTTCTCAATAAATTAACACAAATATTAACGATATCTGTATCACTTAAGAAATAAAGTTTACAAAAAGCACTTTCATTTTTAATTACATTTAAGACATTATCAGTTATAATGAATCAATTCAAAATAATTAAATTTTATTTCATTTGAAGGATCTTTCTTTAGCACCTGTATTATATAAAGTACTAGCTGTTACCCGCAACTTCGTCCGCAGAGGTTTTGCAAGCAAACCCCATCTACATTCATTATTTCAATAACCATAGTAATTGTCATATAACACCTACCGCTGAAGAGAATTGCCGAGAATCAAACGAACTATCTTCAAGTTGATCAATTTTCTGGAACGTTTACAATCGTTCTATAATCGAACCAATACGCAATAACAAATTCGAATTTAAAACGGTTCGAACATTTGGTTAAGAAATCGAAATATATAAAAATACTAGCTGTTACCCGCAACTTCGTCCGCGGAGGTTTTGCAAGCAAACCCCATTTACATTCAATATTTCAATAACCATAGTAATTGTCATATAACACCTACCGCTGAAGAGAATTGCCGAGAATCAAACGAACTATCTTCAATTTGATCAATTTTCTGGAACGTTTACAATCGTTCTATAATTGAACCAATATGCAATAACAAATTTGAATTTAAAACGGATCGAACATTTTTAAAATCGAAATGTCTGAAATGTTATCAATTTAATACACCTAAGTACTCAATGAAGACTAAACGTAGTTGAAAACAAAAAATCGCATCTAAAATAGTACGGTAGAAGCCGTTTTTCCGGTTAAGCCTTAATGCTCTACCTCTTCCCCTGAGGGGAAATTATGAAAAATCCTTTCTTAATGTGAATTTTCATGGCATTCCCTACTAAAATGCATATAAAAAGAAAAAATTGCATCTAAAATAGTACAGTAGAAGCCATTCTTCCGATTAAGCCTTAATCCTCTCCCTCTCCCCCCCGCAGGGGAATTTTGAAAAATCCTGTCTTAGTGTGCGTTTCCATGATGTACCCTAATTGTCTACCAAATTTCACCTCTTTAGGTTCAGCAGTTTGCTCTGGGCGATGATGAATCAGTCAGTGAGTCATTCAGTCAGTCAGGACAAGCAATTTTATATATTTAGATTTTGAAGTGTTTTTTAAAGGAACTTTATTTGAGTGTGACTAATAGAGGTTACAATGTGGTCCTTGGGATTTCAATAATAGTGAGATAAGTCTTGATATGAACCTTTTTTCAGCAAAGAGAGAGAGTGCACTTCTGAAACATTTTCAAGAAAATTGAAGTTAAAAAAAAGATATTAAGTGACTTATTCATAAGTTCTGTGGAATTTCTCACCAAGGACCACATGGCTTTGTGACACCATGCCTGACCTATATTTGTGTGTGTGATGAGTGATATATTTTTTTTTAAATCAGTGCTATTTTTACATAAAATAATTGTAAATCTTATGGGTTTTTTCATTTTCTATTAAAAATGTGCATTTTTGTTTTTCCTTGAATAATTTTTGGCTAAAAATAAATTTGATTAAAGTTTTTACATTTGAGAATGTAAGAATAATAAAATCATAAACAATAAAAAAAATTAATGATATGAGTATTGTTATCTCTATATATCTAACTTATAGTAAAATTTGCAACATTTCTATATTGTTTGAATTCTATTATATTATAATTTATCCATTCTATTATAATTTTCACAGCAAGTATCATTAATATAAAGTTGTTCTATAAGCGTCTTTAACTTTGAAAATTCACACAATCTCTCTAGTTGCTGAAAGTATGTTGTATATAAAAAGAGATATTTGGCATTCAAGTTGTCCATGCTAATTCTGTAGATTAAATCATAATACTTGAAACTTCTAACATTTTACTGTAAAAATTATAATTAATAGAATGATTCAAACTTAGTAAAATTTTGTGATATTTTATTTATTATGTTAGATATATTTTTATAGAAACAATAATACTTGAATAATTAATTATTTTATAGTTTAATTTAANTGTTTTTCCTTGAATCATTTTTGGCTAAAAATAAATTTGATTAAAGTTTTTACATTTGAGAATGTAAGAATAATAAAATCATAAACAATAAAAAAATTAATGATATGAGTATTGTTATCTCTATATATCTAACTTATAGTAAAATTTGCAACATTTCTATATTGTTTGAATTCTATTATATTATAATTTATCCATTCTATTATAATTTTCACAGCACACAACACTATGCTCAAACGTAAATCTACAAACTGACGCTGCTTGCACAGCTGTTTCGTGAAGATCTCTACTAACTCCATGTAATGGGAGAACTCTCTATTATGTCTACGAATTGCATCACACTCTCAGTTCGGTTTTTTTTTTTGGGTTTCCCCTCGTACATAATATCTGAATATATTTTTATTTAATACTTAAAAACAAATACTTTAACCCAGATATAATGGTTGATTATTATTTTCTAGAATTGAGTTCTTTCATTGAGCCCTTGAGCTAGAATTCATAACTTATTAAAATTTCTCTGAATTTATGACATTTTTTACAGTATTTGAATTGTAGCCTTTATAATTGTAATTAAATTTTACAGCTCGACCTGATTGCTCTCTACATCCTCTTGTAAAAGATCCAAAACAAACATTAATTAATTGTTTATATACTACTGCATGCATTCACCCTGCTTGGAGATGTGATGGCCAAAATGATTGTTGGGATAATTCAGATGAAGAAAATTGTGGAACAAGCAAGTATTTTTTTCTAGTATTTTTATTTATTGTTAAGCTGTAAATATAAAAATGAGTGAATTTTAAATGGAAATTATTTAAATTTATATAACTTTAAATCAGTTTATAATACTAAAACAATATTATATTCAAAAATTAATACATTTTCTTTATATGACATATATATATATATATAGTAAATAACATTAAAGATAAAATAAGTGTGGATATGCTATAGCAGGGCTTCTTAAACTTTGTTTATTCACGACCCCATTTATGATTGTGATTTTTTCGCGACCCAAAAAAATATAAAATAAAGATATATACAAATTTGCAAAAACAATAATGGTGTACTACCACAGTTCACTCTTGTGTTACAATGGNACTTTTTAAATTTCATTAAATTGAATTGAATTACTATTAAGCTAAATAAATTAATTTTCTATGACAATTTATAACAAGGTTATCATTTAAGTTTTGAATTAAGAAATATTCAAGTAAAACTATCAATCTATCAATTTTATTGATTTATGATTATCTCATCTATATTTAACTCAAATTATTTTATTCTGAATAAAATAATTGATTAAAATATTTTGTTGCTACATCATTAATTTGAATAATGGTAAATAATTAAATTTTTAAATTTTTGTCTGAATACTAAATGAATATTAAATATGCTTAAACATAAACAGATACTAATTATAAAGTACAAATGATAACTAAATTTTAAGTTTAAATTGTAATTGAAAAAAATCAAAACATCTTTAATTTTTTTTCATAATATTAATTGAGAAACTTTAATGAAATATTGAATGTGGACTGTCAATTCATTATTTTGTTTTTGTTATATACAAATAGTAAATTTTAAAAAGTTGTTGGAGTGAAGATCTAGACCTAAACTAAGGGGGGAAAAAGCATCAAAAATTAAAAAGATAACTCACAATCGATATCAATGAAAAATAAAATTTTTTATTAAAAATAAGTAGAATACATAATTAGAGATTTAAGATATGATTTTTGAAATTAGGAAAATTTTTTGAAAATTAATATAAATTAGTATATTAAAGCATTTTAAGAATAATTTTCAAACTATTTTTTAAAATATAAAAATATATCTTAAAAAAGTTTTTATACAATTCTAATATAATATTTTAATAGATACTATTTATTACATACACTGCTTTTAAAATTTTTATAATTTAAGTTTAATGACTCCATATTGATAAATGAAATAAGCAGACAGATTTTTTTTTTTTTTTAATTTCAAACACATTTAGCTCTATATACAAACTTAATGCTAAATAATCTCTTTTTGGGCAATATTCTGACAAATATCTCCAGAGTAATACAGTCAAACCTCAGGTTTCAAATGCCTTATGTTTCAAACAATTTGGTTTACAAACAAAATTTTGAATCCCATATTTGCTCGGTTGCCATATGATAACTTGGTTGCCGAACAAGCTCGACAAGGGACGGCCACAGAATTGAGAGAAACAGATGGTCATCTCCTTACCTTATACTTCTCATGTTAAAGAAAGTCAACAGGACTACCGATTCAGAAATTATTGATGCCAAGATTACCTTATGTCATTGGACATTGCAACATGAACCATTGATGACATTATCCAAATTAAATTTCAATGTACATGTGGGTAAGATACTACTACTGCTTTTTGGTACATGTTGCAATTGAATATAAATCAAACTAATTAATAAAAATCATGTTAATTGAATGTCATTTACGTAATATAAATGACATTTTAGTACATTTGAAACCGTGTCTGTAATTGTTGTGCAAACTTGAACACCAACTATATAGTGTATTCACTATATAGTTGGTGTTCAAGTTTGCACAACAATTACAGGCACGGTTTCAAATGTACACAATTAACTATATAGTGTATTCACTATATAGTAGTGTATGAGGAATACACTATAGTTGGTGTTCGAATTGCGCATAAATGACATTCACAAATCTATGTTTAAAGGTGCTTAACTCAAATTAAATAACAAAAATTTATCAATTTAATATTATGTATTATAATACAGTAGAGCATTGATTATCTAAAACAATTTGGAACTGGGGTTGTTTGGATAATTGATTTTTTTGGATAACTGATCATTTACAAAAAAATATATTAAACACAAAACTGTACTGTCTATAATTTGTATCACACGTCTTACAAATACATACCTTACATAATGTAATACATTAAACTAGGCCTACAGTTCAGTTTGGCAGGGAGGGGAAGAGTGCTGCAATGCCACAGCCCTAGAGGAAATTTGAATTTGCCGATTGGAACGCTTTTGGTTAACCGATGTTTTGGTTGATCAGTATTTGGATAATCAGTGCACTACTGTATTATTATTTAATTTAATATTTATTAATACCAGATAGCCAGTTAATTAAAATTTTGTTTTTACACTGAAACTGAAATTAAAATTTAAATCAAAGCAATTGTAACATAATATTAATATATATTCTATTACATATAAAATATTATATTGCATTTGTATGTATTTTTATGCAGCTAAAGAGGTAACAAAAAAAGACTTTGTTTTGGGGAAGTTGGGAATGGATTAATTCATTTTATATTGTTTCTTATGGAGAAAATTTGTTTTGGTTTGAGAACAAATCTGTGTTTGAACTACTTTTAGGAATGAATTAAGTTAGAAATCTGAGGTTTGTCTGTATCACTAACAAAATCTTAGTAGTAATACTTTTTTATTTAATAATTATACTTAAGAAAAATCTTGTGATTTTTGTTTAAAATTTATTAATTATTAATAATATATTTCTGAAAACATTTTAATCTCAAGTTATACAAATCAAGTATGCAAGACAATATCTGAGTAATTAGAAATTTTGTGTTGCTAACAATCATCTGAAAACTTTTTGTATCAGTATAATGCATTTTTCTGTAGAGTATTACATATGTTACTTGCTGTTTTGTTTTTTCCCCCAATAAAGAATTCATTGTATTTCATATAATTTTGAAATTCATAAAAATATATTTTTTATAGATTTTTTAATATAAGTTTATGGAATGTTTTATATATTCATATTAAAAATATTTGAAATTGTTGTCATTTGTTGACTATAAAAATTTAACAAATATTTATAATTAATTACATTTTTAAGCTTATGGGTGTCACGATGATCAGTTTAAATGTGGAAATGGTGACTGTATACCTTCAATATGGCAATGTGATGGTCATCCAGACTGTCCTGATCATACAGATGAATCCAAAATTTGTAGTAAGTTATCACCATAATTTATATTATTTTTATTTTAAATAAATATTAAGTTGTTCAAATACCAAAATCTATTTAATCATCATACTATTTAAACTAATTGTAAAATATTTGAAATGTCTTATTTAAGGATTTTAGAAATTTATATGATTTAATTAGATTATAATAATTGCAATATTTTATTAATTTGTAATATTTTAATCTACATTTACTATTCAAGAATTTTAGTTTGATACATTTTAAAATATTTTAAAATTTCATAACTATTTAATTATATTATTTTCAATATTTACTATTTTTAAATTTTAGTAAATAAATATTTGAAATTCATAAAATTTGTTTTAAAAATAAAATTAAAATCATTATATGCTTATAGTTACTAGACCATGTAGAGAAAATGAGTTTCGCTGTAATTCTACTGGTCAATGTATACCTCAAACATGGGTATGTGATGGAGAAAATGATTGTGGTGATCAAGAAGCATCTGATGAACATCCTGCACATGGATGTCGTAAGTATATAAGAAATTTAGCTCATTAATTAAATCAGAAAGTTTCAAAAAAAGAAAAAAGTAAGACAAAAGTAGCATTTTTTTTGTACATAATTATTAATCTTCAGTATTTAGTCATGATTGAGGGCTAAAATTGATTTACTTGACGCTTGTGTTAACTTTACAAAACAATATTATATGATTTAACAATAATCATATAAAAGAAATAGTAATCAACTAAAATTAGAACTAAAAAAATTTTTGAATATTTATTACAGGTCAGCCACCAACTTTTGGCATTAATGGTTTTGATAGATTAAGGTCACATAATAATAATTCAACAACACATTCTACACTACTAATTACATGTTTCCTATATTTATAAAGTACTGTGGTATAGTAGAAACTTAAATTATGTATGTATTAAATGCAGACTGGTGTTTACATTTGATATCATTGACATTTGCATGTTTTTTTAGAAGCCATAGCTAGATTAAATGTAAATAAAATGAGCTAAAAATTACAATAAAGAAATAAATGCAATAAAGACAGATTTTTAAAGACAGTCAATTTTTTTTTTTGTTACATTTATTTATACATGGTACGAAGTATCAAGGAAGTTTATGATTACATTGAAAAAAGGAGATTACCAACTGCAATATAGAAAATTAAATGACTTTCTACATATAATGAATGACCTTCTAGCGAGCAATTTTGGCATAATGGGAATTTTAAGAGTCCTCTCAAAATTCTGTACAGATTAAAAGGGGCTCTAGAAAATCAGTGATGAACTTACATTTTCAACAGTACCAATTTACTGCTTTAATTGGATCTTTTCATAAACTTGAACATTTTTTCTAATGCTTTGAATGTATCAATAATCATCAGGAGATGAACTTAATTAAACGTTTTCCAAACAATATTATACATTTGAAGTTTTATCAGAACAATTATTCTTGGAATTTATGATTATATTTGAACACATCGATAAATTAACAATATAATTAATTTTTAATTTTTGGTAAATAGTAATTCATTTTGATTCCTGTTTTTTAAAATATATTTATCAATGCTTTAAATGTCTAAAAAAGGAAATTAATGAAAAATTTACCAAAAAATTTATTATTACAAATTTCTATTTCANCTATTAATAATTTTTTCATGAATAACAATGAAATGTTTTTAAAAGAATAGTCTATTTTCAGAAGCACCTGCATTATCTTGTCCTTCAAATTCATTCAAATGTGATGGTGGTCTTTGCATTCCTAAAATATGGCAATGTGATAGAGATGATGACTGTGAAGATGGAAAGAATGGAACTGTTAGTTCTGATGAAAGAAACTGTGGTAATTATAAAAATTCTTTAAATGTATATATATATAAGTTTTTATATAATTGCTTTCAGATATGAACTAAATTAATTTCACAGTGATGTGAATATAAAAAGAAAAAATTGCATCTAAAATAGTACAGTAGAAGCCATTCTTCCGATTAAGCCTTAATCCTCTCCCTCTCCCCCCGCGGGGGAATTTTGAAAAATCCTGTCTTAGTGTGCGTTTCCATGATGTACCCTAATTGTCTACCAAATTTCACCTCTTTATGTTCAGCGGTTTGCTCTGGGCGATGATGAATCAGTCAGTGAGTCATTCAGTCAGTCAGGACAAGCAATTTTATATATTTAGATTTTGAAATNTTTTCAGTTGATCGACATTTAGATAATCAATGCTCTACTGTATTATAATACATAATATTAAATTGATAAATTTTTGTTATTTAATTTGAGTTAAGCACCTTTAAACATAGATTTGTGAATGTCATTTATGCGCAATTCGAACACCAACTATAGTGTATTCCTCATACACTACTATATAGTGAATACACTATATAGTTAATTGTGTACATTTGAAACCGTGCCTGTAATTGTTGTGCAAACTTGAACACCAACTATATAGTGTATTCACTATATAGTTGGTGTTCAAGTTTGCACAACAATTACAGGCACGGTTTCAAATGTACACAATTAACTATATAGTGTATTCACTATATAGTAGTGTATGAGGAATACACTATAGTTGGTGTTCGAATTGCGCATAAATGACATTCACAAATCTATGTTTAAAGGTGCTTAACTCAAATTAAATAACAAAAATTTATCAATTTAATATTATGTATTATAATACAGTAGAGCATTGATTATCTAAAACAATTTGGAACTGGGGTTGTTTGGATAATTGATTTTTTTGGATAACTGATCATTTACAAAAAAATATATTAAACACAAAACTGTACTGTCTATAATTTGTATCACACGTCTTACAAATACATACCTTACATAATGTAATACATTAAACTAGGCCTACAGTTCAGTTTGGCAGGGAGGGGAAGAGTGCTGCAATGCCACAGCCCTAGAGGAAATTTGAATTTGCCGATTGGAACACTTTTGGTTAACCGATGTTTTGGTTGATCAGTATTTGGATAATCAGTGCACTACTGTATTATTATTTAATTTAATATTTATTAATACCAGATAGCCAGTTAATTAAAATTTTGTTTTTACACTGAAACTGAAATTAAAATTTAAATCAAAGCAATTGTAACATAATATTAATATATATTCTATTACATATAAAATATTATATTGCATTTGTATGTATTTTTATGCAGCTAAAGAGGTAACAAAAAAAGACTTTGTTTTGGGGAAGTTGGGAATGGATTAATTCATTTTATATTGTTTCTTATGGAGAAAATTTGTTTTGGTTTGAGAACAAATCTGTGTTTGAACTACTTTTAGGAATGAATTAAGTTAGAAATCTGAGGTTTGTCTGTATCACTAACAAAATCTTAGTAGTAATACTTTTTTATTTAATAATTATACTTAAGAAAAATCTTGTGATTTTTGTTTAAAATTTATTAATTATTAATAATATATTTCTGAAAACATTTTAACCTCAAGTTATACAAATCAAGTATGCAAGGCAATATCTGAGTAATTAGAAATTTTGTGTTGCTAACAATCATCTGAAAACTTTTTGTATCAGTATAATGCATTTTTCCGTAGAGTATTACATATGTTACTTGCTGTTTTGTTTTTTCCCCCAATAAAGAATTCATTGTATTTCATATAATTTTGAAATTCATAAAAATATATTTTTTATAGATTTTTTAATATAAGTTTATGGAATGTTTTATATATTCATATTAAAAATATTTGAAATTGTTGTCATTTGTTGACTATAAAAATTTAACAAATATTTATAATTAATTACATTTTTAAGCTTATGGGTGTCACGATGATCAGTTTAAATGTGGAAATGGTGACTGTATACCTTCAATATGGCAATGTGATGGTCATCCAGACTGTCCTGATCATACAGATGAATCCAAAATTTGTAGTAAGTTATCACCATAATTTATATTATTTTTATTTTAAATAAATATTAAGTTGTTCAAATACCAAAATCTATTTAATCATCATACTATTTAAACTAATTGTAAAATATTTGAAATGTCTTATTTAAGGATTTTAGAAATTTATATGATTTAATTAGATTATAATAATTGCAATATTTTATTAATTTGTAATATTTTAATCTACATTTACTATTCAAGAATTTTAGTTTGATACATTTTAAAATATTTTAAAATTTCATAACTATTTAATTATATTATTTTCAATATTTACTATTTTTAAATTTTAGTAAATAAATATTTGAAATTCATAAAATTTGTTTTAAAAATAAAATTAAAATCATTATATGCTTATAGTTACTAGACCATGTAGAGAAAATGAGTTTCGCTGTAATTCTACTGGTCAATGTATACCTCAAACATGGGTATGTGATGGAGAAAATGATTGTGGTGATCAAGAAGCATCTGATGAACATCCTGCACATGGATGTCGTAAGTATATAAGAAATTTAGCTCATTAATTAAATCAGAAAGTTTCAAAAAAAGAAAAAAGTAAGACAAAAGTAGCATTTTTTTTGTACATAATTATTAATCTTCAGTATTTAGTCATGATTGAGGGCTAAAATTGATTTACTTGACGCTTGTGTTAACTTTACAAAACAATATTATATGATTTAACAATAATCATATAAAAGAAATAGTAATCAACTAAAATTAGAACTAAAAAAATTTTTGAATATTTATTACAGGTCAGCCACCAACTTTTGGCATTAATGGTTTTGATAGATTAAGGTCACATAATAATAATTCAACAACACATTCTACACTACTAATTACATGTTTCCTATATTTATAAAGTACTGTGGTATAGTAGAAACTTAAATTATGTATGTATTAAATGCAGACTGGTGTTTACATTTGATATCATTGACATTTGCATGTTTTTTTAGAAGCCATAGCTAGATTAAATGTAAATAAAATGAGCTAAAAATTACAATAAAGAAATAAATGCAATAAAGACAGATTTTTAAAGACAGTCAATTTTTTTTTTGTTACATTTATTTATACATGGTACGAAGTATCAAGGAAGTTTATGATTACATTGAAAAAGGAGATTACCAACTGCAATATAGAAAATTAAATGACTTTCTACATATAATGAATGACCTTCTAGCGAGCAATTTTGGCATAATGGGAATTTTAAGAGTCCTCTCAAAATTCTGTACAGATTAAAAGGGGCTCTAGAAAATCAGTGATGAACTTACATTTTCAACAGTACCAATTTACTGCTTTAATTGGATCTTTTCATAAACTTGAACATTTTTTCTAATGCTTTGAATGTATCAATAATCATCAGGAGATGAACTTAATTAAACGTTTTCCAAACAATATTATACATTTGAAGTTTTATCAGAACAATTATTCTTGGAATTTATGATTATATTTGAACACATCGATAAATTAACAATATAATTAATTTTTAATTTTTGGTAAATAGTAATTCATTTTGATTCCTGTTTTTTAAAATATATTTATCAATGCTTTAAATGTCTAAAAAAGGAAATTAATGAAAAATTTACCAAAAAATTTATTATTACAAATTTCTATTTCAAAAGAAATTATTCAACTTAATGTATTATTTACATAAATTTAACTTAAATTAAACGACCTCTCACTACACCGGGATATAGTTAATTACATATTCTGAACCAATTAGTGTGTAGATGATGAAAACAAACAAAAATGAATGGTTTTGAACGCCTTCTGAGTCCATCAGGTTTTTTAATGTTTCCTTGATGGATCTTCATTTTGGAATAAAATTCAAACTAGAGTTTGAATATAAGTTTAAAAAAACCTGATGAAGAACTCAGGAAGAGTTCAAAAACATTTATTTTTGTTTGTTTTTGTCATCTACACATCTTAATTGGTTCAGAATACGTGATTAACTTAAACAAAAATCAAAAGTATCCAAAATTTATTTATTTTTATTCTGATTGAAAAGCATTGGTATAAAACTAAACATAGAGGACATTATTTACTTGATGATTTACATCTTTACTCTATCACTTCAGATGAATCAATGTACATAAATTAGATGCTATAGTAAAATGAGACTATAATATTAATATTTGTTCTAAATTCTTTAAGGATGGTTTATAGTTTAACAGCAAGATTTTTCAATATGGCTAGCCTTGACTGGAATTGACAAATCAGAATAATACTTTATTTTGAAACTGCTTGGTCAGTGTCGGAATCATACTTCAAAAAGAGCAATGAAAAACAAAACAAAAAAAATAATTCAATATAAGAAATTTTATGAAAAATAGATTATTTTAATAATAGGACTTCCTATTGAGATGCAATTAATAATATAGTAATAAATTTTATGGCAATATTATTCTTATACTAGCTTTTTATTAGATATAGTCATTGCAAAGGGTGTCATAAATGCAAAAGTTTAAATACATATAGACAACCAATCCTGAATTATTCTAATTATCAAATTATAAGTCCAGATTAACTATTGAGCTTAAACATGGATAATTTATTTTATAGTTATTTGGAGTAAAGATTGCAAATTATATGGTATCTATGAATTTAATTAGTCAAGTTTTAGTTGAAATAGTTAAATCTTGTCTTATTCTAGAAGATTTTTGTATTTATTAAATGATAAATATTTAACATCTTTCACTGTTTTTATGAAAAAATTTTAAATGCCACAATGATTTTTCTACAGTATACTGCTCAAGTAATTTCTTTTATATACAGCATCATTTTAGTACTTGCATCTCAATGGGAACATTTGGATGTTAAAATATTTTATTTATCTTTTATACTTATTCTTAATTGTAATATATTTTATCTTAAATTATTTTTCAAACAACTCTATATAACTATATCTTTTAAAGATCCATGAAAATGAGTTTGGTTTATTCTGTTATCCAATTTGTTGTTAAAGTATGTTTGAAACTTCCACAATAAAATTATAAATTTGTTATGACTTTTATAAATGTCATACATATAAATTACAATCTATCTCAAAATTATTTTTGAAGACAAATTAAAATTTATTATTGACATTATCTTTTAAATACTCAAACATGTAATAAGTATTTTTTTAATTTTAACTTTTTTAAAAATAAATTGCATACTTGTTTTTAATATTTCAGCTGTAAGCATGTGCAAACCCAATGAATTTCAGTGCCTCAACTTTGTGTGCATTATAGAAAGCTTCTATTGTGATGGTGATAATGATTGTGGAGATAATTCAGATGAACCTGAATATTGTGGTAAGATCATTTATTTATTAAATAAAAAAATAAATACAAAATATTATTAATTTTATATCTTAGTTAAATTAAAGCATCAGTTCATATATTTATTTATGGGTTTTAAAATCTTAACAAATGATATCATCAAAATGACAATATTCTTACAAATATTAGGGGCAGTCAAATGAAAATGAGACAGACTATATAACAAGTGTGGCATGAAAGTTGGTAATGCAGGTAGGTGTATATATAGAAGTGCCCTCTATTAGGAATCAGGAAGGAACAGCATAAACGTTCACTGCTGTGCCATTTGTCTGTTAGATGTGCTCAAAGTGAGGTCAGTGAGTCGTGTGTGCGTCCACCATCACTATGGAGGTCCGCTGCTCATTGACTTTCTGGAACACGGCGCCACAATTAACACACAGCGGTACATAGAAACTTTTCAAAAATTGAAGTGTGCCATCAAATCCAAACACCCAGGAATGTTGACAGACAGCATCATTCTGTTGCAGGATAATGCCCACCCACGTGCTACCAAGATTGTTTTGACTAAACTGCAGAAGTTTTGCTGGGAACTTCTGCAGTGTACACACAGTCCATACAGTCCCGATTTCTCCCCATACGATTTTCATATTTTTGGAGCCCCAAAGAAAGACATTTGTGGCCGTCAATTTGCTTCCGATGAAAAGGTGCATGCCTGGATACAATCATGGTTCTGTAGGCAACTGCAAACATTTTTCTATGAAGGCATTGACCATCTTGTCTCACAGTGGGATAAATATATTAACAGTTATGGCAATTACTTTTGAAATAATAGACAGTTTACTTACTTTTTTCCCATCTGTCTCGTTTTCATTTGACTACCCCTAATAAATGATGAAAATGTAAATAAATTTTTATCATTTTCAAATAGAATGAAGAATATTTTAATTTTTGACTTCAAGAAAATTAAATTTCTTTTAAACTTTGTAACAGAATGAGATTTATAGATTGATATTGGAACGTAATGAAATATTGTAGCTTATTAAATATTGTCCATAATATTTTAATAAACCATTTTAATTATATGAAAAAATAAAAACTTGATTAATATTAATGAAATGTTGGTTAGTTGGTTGTTTCATTTGAATTAACTTTATCATTTCTAATTCTTGTAGTTTTTATCTCTTTAACATAGATAATGTATATTTACAGAACAACGTTCTTGCAAAGATGATCATTTTAAATGTAAAAGCAAGAGATGCATTCCAAAAATGTGGCTATGTAATGGAATTAATGATTGTGGTGATAATTCAGATGAGGATAATAGTGCTTGTGGTAAGAATATTTTTAATACATAAATTTTAAAAAATTTCTTACATATTCATTAAATTTTGAGATTTTGTCACTGATTATGAGAATAGAAAGAAGAAACAGTTAAAACTTTATCTAATATTTTGATCAGCATACTTTTTCC